GTCGTGTATCTCGGCGTTTTAATCGGCGAAGACTAGCGATACCTCCGCAATTAGCGATAATGATAGACTTGACAAATTTCATCCTTCGGCAGATCGTTTGCTGCTTGGAATACCTCGGCAGGTTTCCAGCCTGGGAATCCTTTTATCGCGGTGCGTGATCCCGCCGCAAGGAGAATCCAAGATGGCATAACATAAACTTCTGCAATTTCTTGACAATATTTTTTAGGTTAAGCTCGATGCCAATCGCATGAAAAAAAAGAACAGGAACGGGGAAAAAATAAAATATTACTCCGATTACGAACGACTTAAAGGAGAAAACGAGAAAAAACAAATCCAACGAAGAAGAAGAAAAGAGAAAGAGATACTAGAGACAAAATGGAAGATGGAAACGCGGTCGCATCGACTGAGTTTTGCATTTCCGGCCACTCGAGCTGGTTCGCGAACTCGAACGAGTAGTACCGGTAGCAAGGTTGGAACAACCGGAAACGACAGATGTACACAGGATCGATATACATAGGAGCGCTCTTCAGACCGTGGATTGTTCTCGCGGCGAAACAATGGCGCGCTGCAGGCGACCATTTTCGTTCGGCGAACCTCCTCCCTTTGCAACGGTGGCGCGAAAAACTTGGTTTAATGCGCGCCAGACCGTGCGCCTGGAGCACTACCACTTCTGGGTGTCTGCGACTCGACTCGACTCGACTCGACGCGTCCGCCATTTTTGTCACTTGGACCGCTGGAGCCGTTGGCCTTTCGAGACCGCGGCCACCTTTCCAGACGACCACGGTCGCGTCTCTCTCCCGACGAACAAAAGCCCCCAAACGAGTTCGTTACCGGCAAACATCCGATCCTTTTATTCCACCTTTCTTACACCCTCGTTAAATTACGATCAAACGAGCATTTCGTATCGTAAGACAGTTCCCGCGCAATTAACCTACAAATTCGTCTCGTAAACATCATTTGCGAGGAACGTAATTTACGCGAGTAAATTCTTGGATAGAGGTTTAAATAAGAAACGTTAAGACCATCGGATCGTAGCTGGAACGGTGGACTCGTGTGGGAAGTTTATTAGTTAATTAATTGACGACGGACGAGGCACGTGCCGCAACGAAGGGTCAATTTGCAAGCGTGCAGGATCGCCGGCGTGAACGGCTACGCTGACTCGTATACTTTCCGTTCGACGCGCTATGGGAATATTCGGCCGTTTTCGCAAGCTCTGACGAGCGCTGAGATTTCGCTGCGCAAAGAAATGCGCGGTCGCGATAGACCATAGAGGATGGTCAGCGGTTAAATTAGCAACTGACTACAGTTATATTTCGCAATTTTTCCGCAGAACGTCGTCGCTGTCCAGTGGTCGCGAGCCGGCAAGAGGACCGCGTGTAATTTCAGACCGTATCCACGATGCGTTTCGACACAGAATCGATGACTTGGAACGATTTGCAATTTCCGCAAAGATTATTTCGATTAACATCGATTACTATCTGTGTTTCAGTGTGGTGTATGAAAACACCTACGCGATTTATCTTGGTCGTCGGAGAACGGTTCTCATCGAATTCTTTCTCCTCGTTTCTGCTCGCGTGTCACGTTCACATGTAAATCGCGCGATTGGCGCGCTTGGCCGCGCAGCATCGAGTTTTCGCGACAACGGTTTTACAATTCCTTCTCCACGCTTCTTCGAAACGTTCCCGGTTAACGAACATACAAGTCAAACCAGTTACTCGGCTGTTTCTCGTGAAACGGGAGAAGGGGAAGCGTGGCTGGTCGGGAGTGGACACGCTGACGACACGAGAAAACGCAACGCTTTCTACCACCAACGTCTCCGACGATCGTTCCAACCACTCACGAGACCTACAAAACTTTTCTCCTCCCGACGCGCCGTTTCTTTCCAACTCTTCTATCCTCAACGAACCGCGAAATTTTTATGGTACATTCCAACTTTGCCTCGAACCTTTTTCTGCTAATATGGTTATACAAAAATAACCAAATATTACAAGATTGCATTTTTTATCGACTTTTTTTTCTCTGAATATTAAATAATATCGAGACCTATGAAACTTTTCTTTAATTATACCCGAATTTAAAAGATTTTAATTTTTTTTTTTTTTTTTCGAATTCATTTTTATAAACGTTGGCTTGATCGATATATGTATTGCCGAAATTTTTCAGCAGATGGTGCCACTTATCTTTTTTTATTTTTAGTACTAACTAGAATTATTTATTATTCAGCACCTTAACGACCATATCCGTGTTAACACGTGTACTATAACGTTGATCACGGTTATCAAGTATTATAATCACTTACTACACGGATAACAAAAAAATTCTCGCATTTTTAGCAAATTTTATAAAACGATTCAGTCTGTACGGAATTAACGAGACTATTTTTATCCCATATTATCCTGCGACCGAGCCAATATTACTGCATGGAAACAGGAGACGAATTATCTGCATATGTATAGGTATACAAACTACATGCATTTAGACGACGCGACGGTTTCCCCGCACAGCTATGGTGGCGCTGTGCCCTGCGAAACGAACGCGTATGTAGCACGTTTCTCGCCAACCGCGGGCTTCTGTCGACACCGGTAATCGGCGGGTGTTAGATTCGAAACCGAAGGCACGGATTGGAATCCCAGGCAACCGCGAGACGGTGGTTTTCCAACGTACCGCGACTCTTACGACCGCAGCCAGCATCGTGTACGCGAATCGCCGGCATCGAGTTACGGGCCAGGGGAACAGGTTTGGGATTGCGCCGCGTCTATGCGCGCTCGGTTCCTTATTCGGTGAAATATCACCAGGCCCGCGCCATCTCGCGTGCCGCGCCCAATAAACCCGAATATCGCGTTCCCCTAGCCAAGACACTCTCTCACTCGTTAACCCGTTAAACGCGAAGCTTATCGGTCAGAATTCCCAACATAACCTATAAGTCACGAACCCGCATAGTTCTCAGAAGAAATTACTTTCACTCGGACAATTTTAATCGAGGTAAACGCGAACCTAACGAGGCGTTAAAAGATAAGGAATCATTATACCCAACAACAATGGTAGCCCACGTCAGGTTTAATTAACCTCTCGCGAATGAATATCGGTAAACAGGCATTGTGCTTTAAATCTTCTAGCGTTACGATTGGAACAATTTCGTAAATTTGAAACGAGATTTATGGTGCAAAGGTATCTATGTATTCCCGTTTGCGAAGGGTCAGTGCGTTTGGTCCCATCCTCGTTACCGGCAGCAAACGCAGGACAAAGGTTCTTCGAGATACGGTCGCATTGTTTCCACTGCGAAGATAAGGAAAGCAAAAGAAACGATCGTATAAAGAGCGGTGGAAACCGGAATGCGATCGAGGGCTTCGGACGCCCATAGGCGTCGCCAGGGCGCGCAGCTCCCGCGTTTCGCGGCGCCACGGAAGACCGATGCGGCCGACCGTCGAACTTTGCACCCTCGTGGGGATATCGTCTACCGTAAACGAGTATTCTTAATTTCCGCACAATTTATGCGCCGCGCTACACACGGGAACCGATAATTGCGGCCGAGACGTGATTTATACGGCCGTATGGGACGGCTAATAAAGGGTAATGCCGAGTGGAAGAGCTGACCACCGACGAGATTTACGTGTCTGTTCGCCAGAATTTCTCTGACTTCTCGGTATCGTTCCCTGCGGTTTCGAATTCGTCGCTACTGACTCCGGCGTATTTTCGCGCGCTGACGTACGCGATGATACAATGACAATTTCGCGGAACGAGCCTATCGTTTGCGAATCCTTCTTTCGCGATGCACGTTCTCCTCGACCGTTTACTCCGCGGATAAAAGAGTGGTCAAACGTGCCACGTGTACTTGACCCAAATGCGAGTTCGACCCACGGTTTCGCACCCGGAGGCGTGTCTGCCATACTCGCGTACCGTGGTAGCTGCTTTTCCATATGGGGGGTGGCTCGATCTGGGAACCGGGACCAATTCGAAGAATTTTTATAATACGAATAATACACGCGTATTTAATAGTCACCTCGAGTATATACATAGTAGTTGTCGAAAATATTCGAACGCTATGTTCCGAGAAAATTCCCTAACCTAAAAATTCCGATTTTTCTGCAAAAATTTCAGTGCACCTAAAACGCAACGAGTGGGTAAAATCAACGAATAATTTTTATTCGACAAGCCTTACTTTGTCTCACACCGTTAAATAATTCGATTTAAAAAAAGGTTGGGATCGGACTCTAACTTTGAACGACGATTTCACCCATCGAAAGTAATATCTGCGAACAAAAAGGTCCGCGTTAAAGCGATTCGTTACGACGTACGTACCCGTTAAAATCGGAATTTCTCAGTCGGAGTGCTCGCATAAAACGTTACAATACCGCGTTCGAGTACTTTATCGAGCTACGGAGAATATTCCATAAATGATCCACGCTCGTTACACGGCTAGTTCCTCTGTCTTACGACGTTTTTCCCCGACCTGTGAGAGACGAAGCGCTAATTCGTATGCGGGTGTAACTCGTACGAGACTGGCATCGAAATGCAGATCCGAATGGGAATCGATCCCGTCGCGGCAGGAAAGTTGGAAGGAACAAACGCTCTTTGTTGGTGAGACAGAATGGAAGAGTACTCGGCATGGGCCAGCGGAGCGAGTTATGAAACAGGCCGCCTGGCATTTAGCCGGCCAGTATTCCTACGAGTGCGAGCATACTCTGGGTAATTTATTCCGCAGAGCTGCGTGCCCGGCGTGTGAGAAAACTTTATTAAATGTTGATCGAGCCTCCAAAGGGGCGGCAACCCTCATGCATTTTCATCAGCTCGGTAGAAAGATCGTCGACCTCGATTAATTACTCTGCCGAGTATCTCTGTCAACTAACCCTGATCTCCGCGCCATTTTCATCCCCTATGCGAGTACCTGCCTTCCCTTTATTAATTACAACTCCTTACCACGCTATACAAACCGATCCCAATATGTCTTTGATCCATAGATGCTCCTCGAGATCAATTTCTAGGCATCTTACGCCATATTCCTCGAAGTTTTCTCATCTGTATCTCGAAACCGAGAGACTTCCGGGAGGCTCTGACTAGTCACGAGGAAGGACTGCGACGAGGAGATCGATCGTGATCGATTACATCGAACGAGGGAGTTAACGGTTCCTGTCGGGAACACGAAGAGATACCCTGGTATCCTCTAAACCGCGTAGGACACGTATTTCCCGGACGACGCAACGCAAAGAGTTCGGTGGCTTCCCATGAAACGGGGATTTACAGTTAGCCGTTGCGTTTACATTTGCGGTAACCACGCCTAGGAGAACTTTTCAGATCTACCCGATCGCGCGGCTCTGCTCGCCGCCTTCGATCGGAGCCAACTTGACCGAGTTAGAAACCTCCGAGCTCTCGTGGATCGATCAGTCGATCGCAGCTCCGATAGAGAAAGCTCCGTTTTCCCCGGAGTTCCATCCAACCGTGAAGTCTCAACATCTGTTACTTTCTCGATAACCCTGCGTCCGAGTTGCAAGAAGAAGACGAGTAACGAGGTAAAAGGAAAAACCTAGGTGTACGGTCTATCCTCGGTATATACGTGTAGACCTCACGGCAAACACGGGAACCCTCTCAGTCGTGAAATTACTCGGTAAACATACCGTGTCGCCTGAAGAACAAACTCTTCTTCTTCTCGGTATCCGCTTTTTCAGCGCCGCTTCCTATCCTCTTAGACTTTGCCCATCCGATAATTTCCTTCTTTTTGCGTCTCCTGCTGGCGTTTTGCACACCGGTTTCTCACTAGGATCGACATGTCGAACGAGAAAACAGAACCGAGGTAAAGAAGCCAGATCCTAAACAGGCTAGAGGATGAGTTCGAGGTTGTAGAGTGACGTTGACAATTCGGACATATCTGTTAGGTCGCAGCTACTCTGCGAGATGGATCGTGAGGATGACGAGAGGTAGCTCTGCGCCTGGTGTATCCTATCTCTGTTATCATGGACGAACAATGTCGTCGGAGTGAAGGGCGCTTGCCTCACGATCGAGTGAAAGGTGAATGCCGGCTTTTATAGCGGCTGTGAAAAAGCTAACGAGATCCCGACACTGAATCGCGAGATAGTTTACGCGATCGATGGAATATATCGTACGGAAATTTTTCAACCACGCCGTTGGCATTGCTGCATCGATACACGGCGACTGGTGTGATTTTCGCTCCCTGAAGGATGGTTACGAGGACACGAAACGCTTGACCAGTGATCCGAAATGGAGGAGGAAAACGGGAAATACTGGCATGGCGTATCATAAGATAAAACCGTGAATCTCACTGCGGTTGGCTGACGGTTTCGACTGATGTGCCGGAAGTGGATGCAAGATGTCTGCGTAACTCGTGATTCACGCGTCGAGGCGCAATACTTCTCCAGGAACGGGGATGTTAACGCTAGAATTATTACGAGTAGCTTATATTTCGCGTAAATGAAGATAATTATAGGGGCACGAGGAAGACGAATGACTATAAACAATTATGCCTCGATCCGAATGAAAGTAAACATAAATTTTGTCAAAAGTAGATTGTGATCTCGGAAATTGTGGAAATAAAATGGCCGAAACGTGTCATTTTAATCATAGAATACGTGGATAGAAGAAAAAGGATGAGTGTTTTGCTTGTGATACGTGTATATTGCATTTTATACCGCGTCGTCTTGGGAGAGAGGGTGCCGCGATGCAGTGTCTCTGGCACACACGGTGCGATGTAAATCGTTCTTTTGCAAGTACGCACGACCAGCGTGCATAAATATTTAGGGCGCAATCGTGTTTGACGAAGTTTCCAGTTGCAAACTCGTAAAATGCACGTGCGGCTTCGAAGACTCGAGCAAGATAGTTACTCGTGAATATTTAGATAGGGTATCCTTGATATTTTGCGAAATACCAGTCGTTATACGTATTTGCATATCTTTAGGTTATGTCGTTAAGGATGTATACATTCTCGATCAACCGACGACTAATAAGTTGTAAATACTTTTGGCGAGATGTAAACAGTTGTAGCTTCTTTGCACACTTTTAGGTTAGAAGTCAAGGATGTGTAATTCTCGATCCACCGACTAGTAGTAATTTGCAAATACTTTTTGCTAAATACGAGTAGTTTCTTCTACATGTGTCTAGGTTATGTTGTTAAGGTTGTATAAATGTTCCATGCACGGACTATTAATTTACAAATACTTTTTGCAAAATACGAGTTGCTATATTTCTTCTATTTTTAGATTATGTCGTTAAGGATGTGTAAACTCTCGACCGATCGATTACTAACAGTTTATAAAATTTTTTTCCAAATCGATGCAGTTATAGTTTCTCCGTACATTTTTAGGTTAAACACGTATAAAGTCCACTGACCATTAGTAATTTAGAAATATTTTTTGCGAAATACGAGTAATGATAGTTTCGTTGTATACTCTTACGTTACTCGTTAAGGATATATAAATTTTTAATACCGTATTAAAATTTGAGATTTTAATTTCCGCCTATGCTGGAGACCGGTGATTCGTTCGATTCTCCGGGTCTCGGATTCCGGATAAACCAGTTTCGCGACAAACGCGCCACACACCCCGCGCGAATCGTCCAGCCGTATGTTCTTGACGTTCGTAGCTCTTTCGATTGAGGTTAACAAACGCTTTCCCGCCGCCGGTATTTTCCGTCCCTACATCGATGAACCGCAAGGATTCTTCACTGCTTCCTTTCCGGCGCATATAACGACGAACGTGCCACGGATTAACCTGAATACGTTCTACGTAATAGGATCCATTTCGTTCAAAGCTCGAGGACGATGATGTACGATGTAAAAACGATATCAAACTTTTGACCGTTCCTCGTTTCTTCGAAACAATATCTGGGAGGCTGAATTATCTTCGTCGAAATTTCAACGAAATGTGGTTAAACTCGGATTTCCTATGTACACGGACGCCGGTTTCCACCGGTCTCTCGAGCAAATATAATGTCGCGTATTTATTGAGCTTTGTATGCAAGACCTCCATCGTTCTTTATCAGGATTTTATCTCGCGGTGAAACATAGAAGCATATCGTCGAGGACCGGTCCACGTCGATCCTGTAGCTAAGTTAGATTTCGAACTTGTCGATAACGTCTGTTCCTGCGCACTATTTCGTCCTCGGTATAAACACGCGATTGGTTCTTTATCGAAGCAAACTTTCGAATGGTCTTTTTCTCCGTCGAGTGAAACTTGAAGTGTGGTGAAAAACTGATCGAAGGACAATGGTAATTCGTTGGGATAATAATGGAAAGTTTTGAAGGAACCTAAGCCGATTTTCGAATACCGTTTGTCGCTGACCTGTCATTTATGGTTTTCGTGCGTAGAGGTTAATCCTAGGTAATTTGTTCCCACCCCGAAAGCTAGGGAATTCCACCGGTAACGCGAAGCGTACGTGAGAATTCGATCTTGGTGAATATGTAATTAATGTTTCAAAGGATACACGAACAATTGAGGTCGATTGAGCGACCTTAATAAGTCATGTATACGGGTAGATCGTGCGGAAAATAATTTGCTCGAACGACACACGTGGTCATCGGGAAAAATTAGTACTTGCGTTTCGAAAGGTTGTCATGTATTTACGCTACAGAGACAAATTTACGACGTACCGACACGTAAACGTAAACAGAGAATCACGATTAGTATACATTCGGTTTGGTTCGTTGATCTGCACGAGTCGTTTCCGAGGGCGGTTACATTGCGAACTAACCGTCTTTCGACATTCGTAAAACTTGGTGCGAGATAAAAATTATCAAGCGATACGTTTTGTACAAAGCTTATGATATATTGTGGTACAAACCTCGAGCTTCGAGATCTCTGGACTATTCGGAAAACGACGAATTTATCCACCACCGATTTCAACCACTTTATAACCTCAACGTCGTAAACAAAAAATTGCAACTTTTTTCGAGCAATACCTTTTTCGATTCAGCACAGCCGGCTGCAAGCCGTTTCCAATAATCCACGCCGAAAACCGACTAAATCCGTTCGATCCCGTGGTTGTTTTATTTCCCCACGGGCCAATAGCGCGGGAAACTCGCGCTTATTGGTCGATTTGCTTTTCCTTCTTGCAAGGCGTCGCTTTCCTCGAAATCGTCCGCAGGCTGTATTGAGTTCCGATTTCTTCCTTCCCTGCCGTCTTCTAGGACGGTTACGACGAGCAGCCACCGATTCTTAAATCACCTCACACCGAGACACCGCTTGCCCGTCGATCGCGCGTTCCGAATTCTCTTTGACCCCTCGTGACGAGAGTCAATGTCTGACGCAGTACGTCAGACTCACTCTCTTTCTCCCTCTTTCTCTCTCACTCTCCTGTGTTACGTCGATGCCGCGTAAGCTGACGTGAACGGGTATTTTGAAAATTCTTTCGAAGCTCGGGACGAAGCCGCGGAACGCACCAACGGGGCCCGGCGTACGAACAGCAACTGAACCGAGAGTCAGGGACTCGTTCTGGGCCCCACCGCTCCCCGCCATGTTGCCTCTCCGAGTTCCAAGCGTGGGGGCGACTCTATCAGGTGCGTATAGTCGCCTTTGGAAATCACCAACGCGACCACGATTCATCGTGAATCGGATACATCGCTCGTTGCTCTTCTGTTCTGGACACTTGGCTTTCCGGATCGTTTATTTTTCTAGATATTTTATCGAGGGATGACTGTTGTGTGACTTTTTGCCGCGTAAGCGAGGGGTGACAAATCGTGAAACCGTAAACGTCATTTTCTACGACTACCGTTCTCGCCGATACTCGATTTCGAGTAACTTTCGACTCGAATGTGTGACTTTCAAATATACTGTACACGATAGTTATAGAAAATATACCATAAATATTTATACGATTTATTGTCGCAACATTTTACAAACATAACCTTAAAATGGAGGAGAATGCGAGACAGGCTTTTGGATTTCAAAGTTGCCTACTTCGTGTGAATTCGAGTTTAAATTTTCGATTTGTATCATGTGTCCGTAAAGAGTAACCGCAACCACAGTGTCTGAGAAAAGAGAGGAAACGATGCTTCGTTCTCTGTCCGTGGAGCTCAAGGTTTTCAGCTCGGTGAATACGCGGTAACCATGCCGGGAACCTGTTCCCCCTGGCAGAGGAGGTTCACTTCGGCTCTTTAAAGCCTCTCCTCGTGCGTCTTCCCTTTTCGTCCTCCTTTCTCTTTGGCTCTTCCATTTTTGACTTTACAAGTAACGTCGTATATTCGACTTGACTCCATGTACAGTTCGTAGTTTCACGAATTTTCGACGAACAGCTTACCTAAAATTTCGTTTCGTTGGTAACTTCCTAATTCCATTACAAAAATTGGATTTTTTAAATAAGAAAAAAAAAGAAAATGATTTTAAAGCGTTCTCGGCAATATCGCTTTACCTCGTCTAAGCAACCTTGTCCTTTGGGTGAACGCAAGATTTACATAACCTCGTTTAATAAATTTCTGATGTAATGTTGGCAGCGCTATGCGCTTTGCTCGCGTATGCGCGCGAATAACGGTTCTACGCAATGACCGCGCACAGGATTTCTTCCTCCACGTCGTCACGAAAAGTTGGCATCACTTATGAGTCGTGTCGAACTGACAATTTCGGTTGCTCGAGTGCGTCAACTTGAACATGAACGAGAAATAAATCATTCGGCCGAGCGTATTTCATTTATTTAATTACCGGGTGCCAGTAGTGGTTATGTTACTTTCCACTTGGGCATGTATCGAGCAAACGGCAACATTTATTATCCTTGTCGTAGTAATTATTATTATTTCTAATGAGCATGCCTGGAGGCACCACCTCGCATGCACTGCCCTCTACGCGTCTCCCTTTCTCCTTTCTCCGTGGTCCACTCTTTCTTCGTTCCGTCTTCGTTTTAATGTTTTGCTTCCTTGTTGGGGTAACGCGGTGGTACGGGATGAAACTCCAGGCCACATAACCGCGTTCTCCTCACGTCTTCCATTTCAGGGTTTCCCAATCCTTCGAATTCTCCGAATCTACCGACTAGTTGTACCCATTACAGAGGTTACCGGGAAACATTTCTCATTCTATATGTAAATTATAGTCATGGCTGGCCATAGGTATAAGCCATTTTATATAATAAAAAAAATACATTTTACATCGCGTTACGTATATTTTTGCTCTCTCAAATTAAGTTCTTCATACAAGCTTTCGTGTTACAATGTCGCAAAGAATTTAAATAAATGGCGCTTATCTCGAAAGATAGCGCGACAATCGTAAATTTCATTTAATACATCAAGAGGTCATACACCTTTGACTCGAATTGTCAGTGACACCCGAACGTTTCCTATAAGATAAGGAATATTTTATCGGTAGCTTTTTATCTGTATTCGTGAACGAGAAAGAAACTCGTTCAAGTAGAAATGTGTACATGTATAGTAAAAAGGGAGGCATTTCTCGAAGCGCAAGTAATCGAGAAAAGGTTCCCGAAGGTTGGGAAACGCTGGCTCTGTTCCCCGTAAGGTAGTCCCTTTCTTTTTGCCTTCGCCTCGGCGTAGCACGGTGCTGGCGTTGTTCTACTCGGGCCCAGGGCTGTACGATGAGAGGTAGCGCGCGTGAGGGGAAAAAGCGCTTAGGTAGGGGGAGTTCCATGGTACGCGGCTACCGACGCGCTGCTACCTCGCTGAAAGAAATTTAATGAATGGCAGCGATCGTCGAACTTAATAAGCCTACACCTGGTATCGCGAGTCGATGCTTTTTCTTTACCCCCTTCGTAGGTTATAGCGTATACCACTTGGATCGTACCGCGAACCTAACCTATTCCGTCACGAGAGCCCTTTTCGTTTCGATCGTTGTACTTGACTGACATAACGATTCGACGAATACATTCGAACGAAAGGGTACTCTTGCTTCGTAAAAACAAACCTCTAAAACGATTCGAACTCGTCTCTCGATCACTGTAGCCGTAAAATACGAAAAATTGTTCATCGTGATCGCGCGAGGCGAACGAAGCAACAACTTCGGCGTCCGTCAGCGACGAAAAACTGAAAGGTTCGCGGCTAATCGCGCTTAATCACGCATCATTTGATCTAATTGAGATCGTGGGGGCTCGGGGATTTGGCCCTGACATCTATTACTACCACTGCTATCTTCTGCCAGAGTGGCCGGAGAGACCGGAGAGGCCGACGCGGCACGGAACTGCAACTGCACTCGGGAGTGCAGCCACGAGTCGGCGGAGCATTCGTGGTAGTGAGAGTTGGTACACGTACGGTGCAGTTGTATGCGTGTACCCTCGGGCAAACCAGACGCGGCGTTCGTCTTCCCACGAACCCTTTGCTATACGTATGAGTCTCGTTACTCGTTCCGGGATCAGGAAACACTCCTATTAAGGCCGTTTTACACGGTCGCGAGAAACCACGCTGTACCGATGAGTGCAACTTCTACGGATTTTACTTTTATGCTACACTGAATCGCTCCACGGCGAACCAATCGAAAACGATAATACTCTTTCCTTTGGCTTTGTACTCGGCTATTCAAACGTATCTTTCAAACGAATCTTCTTTTTTCTTTTTCGACGATCGAGGTCGAGAAAAGAAATTACTCGATCGATTATACAACAATTTTTACAATTTTAAATACGATATTTTATATCCATTCGCGGTCTTTTTATTTTTATTAGTGATAAATGAAAAGTTAGGTTAGATAGAGAAACTATTCGGTAGGTAGTTCGTCTATAGTCTATAGCGATTTGTGGATTATTCTTTGATCGAGAATACGAAAAAAGTGGAGCTAATTGGTTAATGCAAGGCGAGAGAAATGAAACGGAATATAAAGACAGCGTAAAGAACGGTGCGAGGCGAACGAAGGCTAATAATTGATTGTCAGTTTGAAGCAGAAACAGCAGTCCACCAACTCGCGGCAGCACCGACGTAATTACAGCGTTTAAAGCTACCGAATGGTTACTGAACTCCACGGAGGATACCTCGCAGCTGAAAAGTTCACTGACAACAGGATTTCTCTGTATTATCGTCGCATCGAAATGCTTCCTTTTTCCGCGCCATTAGTTTTTCCAATTGTCGCTAGCCTCGAGTAGGCACGGTCTAGAGCCCAAGAGTGCTCAAATTAGCCGAGCAAAGCGAACTTGCGTAGAGCGAACTGTACGTCGCAGCGTCTAGTTTTAGTCCTCGACACGAACTTTAATAATTCGCGTCGCTTGAGAAACTTTCGTCTCGCGAAACTCGGTCTTCTCTTCGCTCTACAGTCCTATTCGTTCATCCTAGTCTCGGAAAGTTCAAGGAAACTAGAGCTGTAATGGAAAATTCCTGGCGTGATAATAAATCGCAGTTAGCCGGAGGTGTAAATCCCGATGAAATATTCCATCGAGGAATCCGAGGAAACCGAGTTGGAAAGTTTCAAAATCGTCCTGCTTTCGAGTGCCAACACACAAACACACGTACACACGTGTAACGAGGTCTAACATTTTACGCAAATAATCCTGTAATAGGTTAACCGCCGGTTAATTATTCGGGTAATCAGTTCGCGCTCTGCATCCTCTCAGCCTTTCATTATCGCCATTTTGGTACGTGTTACGCAATCGGTGATCGTGAGCAACGAATCGATCCTTTCCGGACCAGAATTTCCATCGACTAACCTACAACCGTTGAAAATGCTACGAGGCAAAATTTCATGGAGCTGTAAATCGACTGGACTGTACTCGCGGCCATTGGCCGAACGAATTCGTCATCCGTTGGCTCTGTGGTCTCTCGACGAGACGGAGAGAAAGGAGCAAGGAAGGAAGGCTTTCGTCTCCTCTAGCAGACGGCTGATCCTCGCGATGAACCGAACGTCGCTTGCACGGAATATATCCGATATCTTTGGAATGGGACATAGGTCCCAACGACGGACATTGCCTGTACCTGTCTCCACGCATCGAAGTCTGCCTGCTCACCTGCATTCCATCAACCGGGGCCTGAGGGGGGACCTTTCAGGATACTCAGGACCGTACCGCGTTGGCGGATGAACCGCCCTATTTCACGTTGGGCAGCAAACCCGGAGACCGAGAGAACTCGAACGGGAGAAAGTTTGGTCGTAAAAGAAATTTCAACGCTTTTCCTTCCACCCAGGATTTTCTCTGTCGATAAAAAAGGTTCGATAAACTCTCGCAGTTCAAACACAACTATTTATATATACACGTACGTTATCGAATTTTCGGCTATCTTTGGGCCTGCTTGCAACGAGATGCTTACAGGTAAACGCAGAGCTGCGCGCCTGAAAGGGAGGTTAAAAAATTGACTGCACGCGAGACCCAGACTGGTTGATGGAAAAATTAGATACGGCCCTACCTGGCGGGTTCGCGAGGGCGTAGGACGGTACTCCGAATCAGCAGGATCAGTAACGTAGCCGGACGGAGAGCAGCATAGAGGGCGCTGACGCGGGCCAAAGCGAAAAGCAAAAGCGACGCTCTCTCGAGTACCACTTAATTTCCCCGATCCGCCCAAAATCCGCTCGGAATTCACGGTTTATACCACGCCGCGTACTCCAACGGAACGTTAATTATCGCTTAACGGCCGTTGCTTCCCCACAGCCGGGGAATCCTCGCTTTTTGCAGCGCGGAAAAAGTTAATCGATCGGTCACGAGTCAGGGTAATTTCGCACTTCGACGTTGCGGATAAAACGTCCGCGACTACCACGGACAACCGTCGCAACGAGCTTACCCGAATTTGCTCAGCGATTAGCGGGCAGGATCGTTGCTCTCGTGCAAAGTGTCCGGACACGCCTCATAAGCACCTCCGATGGCCACTTCGCGCATGAATTTACTCATGATTCCACAGGTTTAGAGAAATCTAGGCAACCTCGAATGGCAATTAACCCTTTGCACTGAAATGACGAGTTTGACTCGTCACGAGTCTAATTCGTTAGGAGTCCTTCGTGTTAAATCTGACGATTGTAAGTATTGGGATTATGGGTTCATAATTGAAAAATAACTACCATATATATATATTCTCTTTTAGCAGATGGTAGAAAGGAGAGTGTGTGCAAGGGTTGTCAAATGGTTAAGGAAGTAGAGAAACGAATATAGAGGAAAGAGAGAGGGATGACAGTATGCTGATGGATGGATGTAAAGAACTAATGTGTAAGTTAAAGTATGGAGGATGTGAATGTGTAGAAATTGTGTACACAATCTAGTCCATTTCTAGGTCTAAGGACTGAAATTAATATATATATATATTCTCTTTTAAATTCTTTTATTACTCAAGGAAGGTATATCTACTTTTTATTACTTCTCTAGAGCAACTGACTCTGCGAGTGTCAAGAGGATTCGTGACGCAATTCGCCTAACTTCCCAATGATTATCCAACGTTCATATGAACATTCGTTCTCGGAATTTAGGTTTTATAAACTATTTATTCACACCTTACCTCCTAAATTGATTTTTGTACGTAACTAAACTTATCTCTCCAACAGTAAGCTATACTAATCGAGCGATCATAATAATTATTTCACAAAATTCGAAGAATTTCTCAAATCTTTATATAACTTCATCTCTGATAAGATAAGTATACAGTTGGTTAGCCAAAATTAAATACCACTTCGATGCATACTTTGTCATAATTAAATTGCAGTGCGAGGGGTTAAACGTCGCAGCTTCTATAACTCGCCATTATGTAAATGGTCCCAAGGTTCCTCGAAGTGTCCAGAATTTCCAGGTCATCGCGGCTCGCACGAGCATAGTCGGACGCGTTTCGTTTCAATCAACCTTTTTAATCAACGCGGCTATTTCTGCGGCGATCTAGCCGGTTTCGTAACGTCCACGAGGTTCCTGATCGTTGCGCGGTCGCGGCGAAGTCGTCGGTTCGAAATGAAGTTCTGAAAAGCGAAAACGGAGTGGAGGCAGTGGATAGGAGTGGAGGCGCAGATACGCGCGTGTACGTATGGCAAGAGGAACAAAGAGGAGGCGTGGAGAGGCGCGGAGAAGCGAGTGGAGGCGAGTGGAGTCGAAACGCGCGGCGTATAGCTGCATTCCAGCGAGGTGAAGGGGCCACGCGAGGACCCTGGCGAGTAGCCGGGCCTGTAGGGCCCCAATGCGTTCGAGAACACGTCGGCCCTATGGCATGCGGTCGTCCGGGGTCATGGGAAGTTAAGTATACTGCTTCGCCACTTCAGAAGTAAACTTTGGAAACCGATGCAATGCCCGGTTTAATTGGACCCCGCGTTGCTCCCTGGATCTGCTCCGACCCTAGTCGTCAATCATCTTCGACGATGGCCCTTCAACCCCTCGCGATAGTTCAACCCCCACTCGAGACCAACGCGGAGATTCGTCTGATCCGCTGGGGGTGCGGATCGCCTCTCCAGAGGCTTTCCTTGCCTCTAGATTCCACGCCTTTGACGAATCTCGTTATCCCGAGGGTCGTTTCTGCTTATGCAAATGATCTCGCAGGTCTGTTAATGCGTTGAATTAAGATGTCGTTAGATTCGTCTTACTCAGTTACTCGGTATCTTGGATGTTGCAGAAAACTAGGCTTGGACTTGGTGCCCCGCCAGGGTGCTCATATGGTGGACCCGGACACGATGTCGGTCGTGGAGCTTTATCACGTGGTAATTATAACGAGAGAGGATCTCCACGATGGCTTGGCGTAATTTTACGATTACCGCAAACGCGTGAAAACCGGTCCGAGAAACGTAACCCTGTGCGCCAACGTTCTTCAGCCAGCGCGGACGGCTGACTCTGCATCGGGTAAAAAAGGGAAAAAAGCTATGGACGAGTCGCGTTGAAGAGAGCTCGATACCGTGGGGAGAGAGAAAAGGAGAAAGAGAGGAGAGCTCTCCAGCGTGCATACTTCGCTATACGTATATCGTTGAAGCTCATTGAAATTCTAGTTGGAGTGCTGACCATTTCAAATACTCGGCAAGAATTGAAATGAAGTCAGCGTTAGGGTATATTCAGAGCACGCGCGTTCAACACGAAATTTTTAATGTCGCCTAATCCTATATCGAAATTCCTGTATCCGTAATTCAGTGTATTTGTTTAGATATCTTGCGCAGCAGAGTAACGTTTCTCCAACACGAACACGCATGATCGCCACGATTTGTATATACTTACCGATTTTCCGTTTCGTACGAATCGCAGCGTCGAATTGCGTATTGCTTCTCACGTTTGACCGATTTCAGCACGTTCAAAGCGCGGAAAATTCGCAAGGGGCGTCAGCCAGAGGAACTCTTAGGCGGAAGGAGCACAAGAAGGTCCTGACCCATCATCTCTATTTCTGCATGAGAGATTTCGGGCATATAATCGGCGAGGACACGGAGATTTACTTCTCGTTGTACGATGCGAAGCGGAATCAATATCTAAGCGAGCGTTTCCTGGTGCGAATCTCGAAGGAGGGATTCTCCAGCTTCGTGGAAATGATCCACTGCAACTGCACGATCTTCACGGACCTCGGGAACGCGGACCTAAGCAGAGACCTCTACATGGTTGCACATGTGATGCGATGCGGGAGAATGCTGTACTCCGATTCCGGCAAAAACAAAGCGGGCTCCGCCACTTACAGGAGACCCCATGGCGTCGCGGTGCTCTCCCTCGCCGAAGCCACGCAGGATCACACCGAGGAACTCGAGATGACGCTCAAGGTAAGCTGCAGCTCGTCGACCAATTGGCCACACCGCTTCTTAGGAGTTTCGATACTTGCCAACTCTGAAAACGTCCTTCCGTATCCTTTCTTCCGAAATCGAGTCTCAGGAACGTGCCAGCCACCAGTCTTTGTAAGCAGCGTTGTCTTAGGTGTGTCAAGGAGAAGAGAAGGACTTCCACCAACTACACGAGCAGATTATCCGCAACAACAAGTGTTCACCGCTGCCGGGCCAGCCCAATTACGGCATTGTGGTTTCGCTGCGCGTCCTCCATGGCGAGTTGTCTCAAGTGCGAGAGGAGAATCCCTTGCTCTTCAAGAATATCTGCTTAACGAAGAAGCTCGGGTTCTCTGACGTGATTATGCCGGGTGACGTGCGGAATGATTTGTACCTGAAACTGGAACGCGGCGAGTTCGAGCGAGGTGGGAAATCTACAGGGAAGAACATCGAGGTATCCTTGCACGATGTTGCTGCATCTATGATATATGATCCGAGTAGCTGTGTACCGAGTATATTTGAATTTCTACGAGAATGTAAATCTTCTCTGCTATCTATAGGTGACGATTTTGGTGCTGGACTCGGACGGACAACCCTTGGAAGAGTGTTTGTTTGGCGCCGCTGGAATGGAGGGCAGTTCCGCATATCAAAGTTTGGTTATTTATCATCACAACAGCCCATCCTGGGCCGAGACGGTGCGACTGGCTATACCTATAGACAAATTCTACGGTAGCCACGTCCGCTTCGAATTTCGGCACTGTTCCAGTAAGCCATTGATATTCCTTCAGATTTTCGCAACTTTTTGGCATAGCGAATATCCGCAGAACACGATACACCTTGCTTTTTTGGCGCAGCACGCGAAAAGAATGACAAGAAGTTGTTCGCGTTTGCCTTCGTGCGTCTTATGGAGCCCGGAGGAGCTACACTTCAGGATGGCCCTCACGAATTGTACATTTACAAGTGCGAGGATCGTTCCAAGTTGGACTCGCTAAGTTACCTCTCGTTGCCTAGTTGTGCTCGAGAACCGAATGCAACAGGTAAGAGTTTGTTCGAGAACTTGCAAGATCCCAGGGTTTTTCTCTGCGTCGTGAGTTCGTGCATACGTTACTCTGCAGCACGAAGTTGACGCAAAACGTAGATCTACTGAGTCTGTTGCAATGGAAGGCACACCCGGAACGAATTTCGGAGGCTCTTGGTCGTGTCTTACGGCTGGATGGAGAGGAATTGGTCAAGTTCCTGCAGGACATTTTAGATGCGCTCTTTTCCATGTTTCATACAGAGGATGGCAACTCCACGGCACATTCGGGTTTAGTCTTCCAAGTGCTCGTCTCAATATTCAGCCTCCTCGAAGATTCCAAGTTTGAGCATTTCAAACCTGTCATGGATGCGTACATTTCCGGTCACTTCGCCGCTGCCTTGGTGTACAAGGGTCTTCTGAGTAGCGTGCAGCATTGCGCGGATTGGGTGACCGCGGCGGAAAAGCAGGAACCCATAATCAAGTGTTTCCGTTCTCTGGAGTATATCTTCAAGTTCATCATTCAGAGTCGTCTGCTGTTTGCTAGAGCGACGGCTGGTCAATACGAGGACAGCTTCAAGCGAGATCTTTACTGCGTGTTCGCTGCGTTGAACAAGATGTTGGGCATTCCATACGAGATGGTCCTTCATTCTCAGATAGCGTTACTCTACTCGATCTCGGCAGTTTTCGAACAACTGGTTGCCGTACTACCGGTCCTCGAAGTAGCCAAACTTACTTGCACGATGCTCGACTCGGTGCCAAGGGAGCCACCACTGCAGCTCACACAGGCCAAATTGACTGCCATAAAGAATTTAAGTACTTCCGCGTTGTTTCGTGACGACGACGAAAGTAGGAATCTACTGTTAGTTACGATGTGCAGACACCTGAGGTTCCATTTAGTTAGGCGAGAGGAACTTCGTTCCTGCACTGACATTCTCGGCGAAATCCTCAGCTTCTTGCACAAAAGGGGGCGAGATACGAATAAAGTCAACAACTGCATTCATCACGACGTCGAGACCTTGTGTCTCTCCGTTTTGGATGTCTTGGTACAGACCATACTGATCGTCATAAACACCAGTGGCCCCGTACTGGGCTGCCTAGTAGCTTGTCTGATAGGGTTGCTTCAGCTACTCGACGAGTATCACTATGCTCGACTCTGGGAGGAGCTGTCTCACGCTGGTGAACGACAACCCCTCAAGGATTTTCTTCTAAGAGTCTTTCTGGTTCTCCGTGATCTTGTTAGACAGGAAGTGTTTCCGCCTGACTGGCTGGTAATAAGAATGCAGGCAAACAGTATCATCCTGAAGTCCCTGCAGGAGCTCGCTCAACCTTTGGCTTTTCGTTTCCTGCACGGTATCTTCAATTCGCAGCTCTGGTCCACGTACTTTAATCTTGCTGTAGCATACCTCACCCAGCCTTCTCTGCAACTCGAACAATTTTCCGAAGTGAAACGCGAGAAAATTGTCGAGAAATACGGGGACATGAGAGTGCTGATGGGCTTTCAAATACTCTCGATGTGGTCTTACTTGGGCGATCGTAAGCTGGAATTTATTCCTGGAATGGTGGGCCCCTTTTTGGAGGTCACCTTAGTCCCAGAGAGCGAACTGAGGAAGGCCACTTTGCACATCTTCTTCGACATGATGGAGTGCGAGCAACGCGCGCGTGGTAACTTTAAATCCGTGGAATCGGAATTGATTGACAAACTGGATATTTTAATCAGCGAGAACAAAGGTGACGACGAGTACAGGCAGTTGTTTAACACGATGTAAGTATTAGTCTAGTCTTTTCTACGATATATTTCCTCGTGAGTTTCGTTGAAATTAAATAATCGCACTGCTAATCGAATTGCTTGTGTCTCGTGGTAAAATTTTTAATTTGTCATTTCATGCTGCATTAGGGAGCATCTTAGTGCTGTGTAAGTCCATTGCATAAATTCGCAAGTGAACTATATACGTTTTCACGAGCACGCGAATAGAATGCTTAACTCATCGCATTCTATTCTTGTCCACAGATTATTGGACAGAGTTCTGTCAGAAGATCCAGCTTGGAAGGACAGCGGAACTGCTTTCATCACGTCAATTACACGTTTACTGGAAAGACTGTTAGATTACAGGAGCGTAATACAAGGAGACGAGAATCGCGACAAGCGTATGTCGTGTACTGTTAATTTATTGGTAAATAAAAGATTCGAAATTTCGACCAAAAATATAGAGCATATGCATATAAAGCAGATAATTCATCTTTCTTCTTCCGCAGAATTTTTATAAGAACGAATTCAATCGAAAGGAGATGTACCTGCGCTATATTTACAAGCTTCACGACCTGCATTTAGCAGCTGAGAATTATACAGAAGCCGGATTTACGATGAAGTTGTACGCTGATCAACTTGGTTGGGGTTCTACGATCTTGCTTCCGGATCACTCGCATCCGCAACAGCCAGAGTGGCAAAGAAAGGAGGTCCTTTATTATAAAATAATTCATTACTTAGACCGAGGCAAATGTTGGGAGAAAGCTATCCCATTATGCAAGGAGTTAGCTTTGTTGTACGGAGTTAGATTGTACGATTATGCGAAACTGAGTCATGTATTGAAGTTGCAAGCCAAATTCCTGGATAATATATTGACGCAACTTCGACCGGAACCGGAGTATTTTAGAGTAGGCTTCTACGGTCTTAGTTTTCCCCTTTTTGTTAGGGTAGGTATTATTTATATAGAGAGGTATTGTGATACAACGAGAAATGTAATGTCTTTTATTATGATTCTCCAGAATAAACTATTCATTTATCGCGGTCTAGAGTACGAGAGAATAGGTGCGTTCACCCAACGATTACAGACTGAATTTCCAAGCGCACAAATATTAATGAAGAACTCTCCACCGGATGAAAGCATCCTTACTTCCGAAGGACAATGTAAGATAATCCTTATTTCTTTTTTTGACCCGTCATTAACGCTATCAATCCTATCATGCTACCAATGTAATATTTCAGATATACAAATATGCAACGTGAAACCGGTTCCTGAAGAGAGCAGTTTAGCCTGTCGTGGAGCGGAAGTGCCAGAGAGAGTGGTCGCGTTTTATCTAGTGAACGATGTCCGGAAATTTATCTTCGATCGACCGCTGCATAGAGGAACAGTCGATCGCGAGAATGAATTTAAATCTCTTTGGATCGAAAGGACCACGTTGACCACCGAAGCGAAGTTACCCGGTATACTCAGGTGGTTCGAGGTGATTGAGAAAAGATCTGAGCTATTGGCGCCTGTACAATATGCCTGCGAGACGATGCAGAGCGTGGAGAGAGAATTACGGAGACTTGTCGCACAATACACCGCGGAACCTCATCGAAATATTAACCCCTTTAGCATGCGACTCCAAGGCATCATCGACGCAAATGTGATGGGAGGCATTACCAAATACCAAGAAGCCTTTCTCACTCCCGAATTCGCTAGACAGAATCCAGATATGGTGCCTCACGTGAACAAATTAAAGGGCTTGATTCTTGATCAGATGAGCGTTTTAGAGGCTGGACTAAATTTACACGGACAAATCGCGCCAGCTGGGGTACAACCGCTACACAAAAGATTGAACGAGAGATTTACACAGCTGAAACAAGGCCTTGGTCCACTAGCGAGGCAACGGACAATTCATCAAGATAGCATTGTCAAGTAATTATTTATGATATTTCTCTGCGAATAAGCCTTGAATTGTCTCGTTCATGTCAAATTTGTTTAGTTCACCACTACCTCCGTTGCCCACCAACGAGAAGCAACGACCAGCTACATTGGAAACGGTAGGCTCTAGGGCATCTTATGCGGACAGCGATGGTCTACCAGAAGATGAAGGTTTCTATACAAAAGTAGACGGTGGACCGCCACCTATCCCTCAACGAGAAGTACGACCACGTTCAGTGGGCTATGGCAATACTCCGCCTAGACCTACACATCAAAGAACTCTAAGCAAGCCGCTAAGTCCAAAGTTACCACTAAGACATTCCTTGCCCACGCCAACGGACGGCGTAGATCAGACTGGTCTGAGAACCTCGTGGAGCGAGCCTGGTCCCGAACCAGCTCCACCATTGCCACCTAGAGGTTGCAGTAAGTTTCATATTTGTACAAAGCGAATAGCCACTGAAGCGTTTTGCGATATTAGTTGTCTAAGGAGTGTTATTTCAATCAACTTCATACAAGTGTTGAAAAGTTTATCTAATAATTGTACAACATTGTGTAGTCATAAGAGTGTCTTAATTGTACACGTGGGCTGGAAAAATTTGTAATTTATTGGTCCAACACCCACGTGTAGACATTTCAGTTACGAGTGGTTTAACCTATAATTCCAAGCATTTGTGACCATTTGCATATTTAAATCAGGAGTTAAAATTATTCCAGAAATAACTGTTTATGATTGTTACATAAGGATAATTTCCGTAATAGTTACGAAGGACAGAAATAGTGTAGAAATAGTTATTGAAGTTAACTGAAGATTTACGTTTCAGCGCCTGATAAGAGAGACACGAATACGAATACAGTGGTTCCACCTGCACCCCCAAAACGTCTAACGTACAAACGTAATACGGAGTGGAGCACGGACGATGATTCGGAAGCGCAAAACGAGCCAAACGATCTCCGTGACAGTGGTATATCTACTGCCAGTTTATTAGATTTCCAATCGCATTTGACTAATTTGAATAACCTCGGTTACGAGGATTTCGAACCACGGACAAGGTGCAATGATATCATGAATATTTCACCACCGTCTGTGATAAACGCGTTGAACGTTTCTACGGGGAATTTCGCGAGCGGTACGTTCCAAGGATCGCACTCTTTGCCAGGTCAAGAGGTAATTCTTTATATTTAAAAATCACTATTGTACCCTATGTTATCGTTATTGATACACGTATCATTGTTAGGTGAGTCCACCACCCATACCGCCAAAGGCACATCAAGATACTCCTTCGGCACCGTCGACATTGGAAAGAGTATCGAATCGCTCACAGACTCATGGCCATTCGGAGAATTATTCGGTGCCGAAACTCCAAACATTGTCTATGGCGTCTGATACCGAAAGCACTGTGTAGCAACGATGAATCTCCTAGTCCTAGCGGTTAATTGTGATGTGCGTGTGCCACAGTTAAGCAGATCTGATTCGTATATGTATCAGCAAAACTTCGACGACTCACACGATTATTGGCAAACACGTAATTAACGATTGAATTTAATTGGGTTTGCACAGCAAGGTCTCTGACATTTGCACATCATTTTATATATATATATATATATATAAATATATATGAAACCTGTAATAATCGACATCTTCTAATGCGTAACTCGATAAGGATTACACCCACCTGTGTATAACGTACCTTAGTAGAAACGTGGTATCGAAATGCCGGGAACGAGCAAGAATCGTCGATGCCGATTCGATGATAAATTCAAACTATGTTCAAATTTGATCGGATGGAATTTATCTGGTAGAGCTCGGCAATCGTGAGATACCTTATTGACTTTATGTTAAAGACGACGATCTTCCGAATACTAACCTAACTATATTTTGTAATTTATTTATATTTTCAATGAGAATAAAGGTAATTTTTATCAATGAGACTGTGGTGCAGACCTGTGCGAACACCAAATTATTTAAATAGCTAACAGGAAAGAGAAAGGTGAACGAACGGAGTATAGAAAAGTTGCCATCACTTGATGAAGGATATATATAAATTATGTATTTTGTCACATTCTTTTCATATAAATATATACAAAACTATGAAAACTGCGCCGCACAGTTGTACGCTTCTTCCATGGCATGTATAAAACATTGTAAACTTCTCTAGAAAAAAAGGAGAGAAAAAGAAGGAAAGAAAATAGAATCTAAATATAAAGTAGAAATGGAATGTATACATTGCACAATACTGAGTTTAGAAATTAAGGTACTAGAGAAAGTGATGTTAATTACATGAATGGTGAAATGAACTAGAGATCATATGTCTTCCGACTGCTCGTCGTGATTATTGTCGATCGATATCGCGATAATCTACGAAGAAATCGAAAGAATCGCTTCCGAACCGAAGCTGGAATCACACAAAACGAAATATCGATAAGCGTATGTATATAGATACGTACAGGCACTCACACATACATACTAATCGATATGGCTAACTTCGTAAGTACAGTCATGGCCGCTCTTAAAATATACCTTAGAGCAATTATTGCTCTAAGAAATATATATCTATATAAATTTAATCATTTGAGTTTTAAGCTAATAGTACGTTATATTACTTTGTACGGTGTTTGTTTGTAGCGCGGAGATCGTCATACTGACGTTTCCGCATTAGTATCCTTCCTGGAACATAAACCAGACATGAATTACAAACTATCTATCGAATCTTTTAATTCGATGTAACTTTAATTTTTTATTTTTTTGCAAAATAGCTAATACTTGTAGAGGCATTAAGCATTTCTACAGATGCTTACCTCTTCGCTAATTATTTTCATGTTCCGGGGTAAGCATAAATTATAGAGTACATGAAGTTAGTTAAATGATATCGATACGATTCGTTGTGACACCAAAGATTTTTTTTTTTTAAATGTACTTATATTATACTTACTCGGTCTCTGTAATAGTCTGTTCGTATTGCTGTTGCTGTTGTCGAAGGGCAGCTAATTCATTGCTATGCTGTAAATCGTGAGTCAATGAACTAGACAATATTCTACCACTCATTGGTAAAATATACTCCGGAGAATCTTCTAACACAGTTGGTGTAATTTTTCCACGTTTTAAGCTACCGTATCTTTCCGAACCACTGAGATTATCGTGTTGAGAACCATGTATACTCTGCCCCCTCTTTAAGCTTCCATACCTTTCAGAACCACTCATATTCTCATGGTTGGAATTTTGTGAGTGATGACTCATGCTGGACGCAAGAATACGGGAAGACATGGGTAGCATGTAGGGAGTAGGTGAGACAGTGTGATCTTCCTCAGCTGTATAGGGGAACAAATACTTTTCTCCGAGATGATGAAGTTTTTCCTCACCTTCCGAATAATTTTCATCCGGTTGACTCTTTTGAGGCGAATTCATTTCGGGATAAGGCAGTGGATTTGGACTGGAAGTCTTGTTCGAGGCCATTTCGTTATCGGACATGGTGCCTCCAGACCATTGACTTACACGTACATCCATTACTATAAACAGAACATCGTTGATGCTTCTTGGACTGTGACTTGAAATATTTTAAATATTTTAATTTACTGAAGCCTTACCATTGGATGACAAATATGCTTCTGGTAACTGTGAACTCCATCTAGGTGCATAAATAGGTTTAATGTTTGGGAACAGTTCCGTATTCGAACAAAGTATATTCAAGTGCTCGGTAGGATTGCTATGAATATTAGGCAGATAACTATGTGTAACAGGTTGTTGCGTCGAGACGCCCATATTCCTATGGGATCTTGACGTGACATCTTCTTCGTCGGAACTGTGCGAACTCGCAAGATCTAAGCTTCTTCCTCCACCCTCTGCTTGAGATCCATCTGAATCCGATTCGGAATCTCTGCGTTGATTTCGTGGCTCTGTCGCTTCTGTAAATTATTATAATTATTATAAAGAAACGATTACTTAAGATCGAATTTAAGTTGATACCTTGTCTAGAATGCAATGCTGATCGGTGACTCCTGGAGGACATATAGGGATCTCTGTCACTGTTGTAATTACTCGTGGATGTTGAGGTATGCCTTAAATGTGTATCGCTACGATAAGGACTGGACCCAGTTTTATTTGTACTTCGAGAAGTTGTACTACTCGTTGAAACTCCGACGTGAACCCTTCTACATACAGACTCTGCGCCGCTATACGTTGACGAGTACGCCAGTGCAGATCGCTGTAACATTATATTACGTTAAGAAAATTGCTTTTCGTATTCCTCGTATAACATAACTTTACTTCACATACCGAGTGGCCGTTTACGTTCTGGCTGCTGCTTCCGTTTCCCACGCTTCCCTCCAACAAAGGTGTCTTCTTTCCAATGCATCTCAATAAACTTAAATATAGATTTCTTCGCACTCTGCCATTAATAAAGCAATAACCGACCAAACTAAACGACGCATGGACGACTACTGCTATACTAAGAAGGTATGACAATGTTGGAGAATTTTCGGAGGCATTGAGAACTGTTAGAGTCCACGTAGATCCAAGTAAAGGCAACGAAGCTACGGACAACCAGAGTAACGTCCTTAAATTCCCAAAACCCATAATGTGTTCTTTCAACGTAAATGCCGCTCGTATCGACATGACAAGTATACAGAAATTTACAAAAACTGCCAAGCAAACTGGTCCTATCAAAGACCAAATCACAGTTTCATAGATAGACAGCCAGCAACTAAAATGGGAAAAATGTTTCTCGTTAGTAGAATTCTTTATCAGTATATTTAAGGAAGAAATTAAAAACTGTACGAACAAATAAAAGTTTCCATACTGATCGGCTCTAACGCCGATGGTTAATCCAACTATGATGGCTGGAACACCATATCCCATTGTGTAATAGAACCTCATTTGTCCATGGTTCACGTCTCTCATTTCGGTTAGCATTCGATAGAGATGAATGGAGTCTACCAAGGTCCACGAGAATGTACTCAGCCAAGCATAGTGCAAGCCAATTGCCGTCAGTTTACATGGGAATTCGTTCGAGACTAGAGAACTTCTAGCTTTGAGTGCGATCAGATACAGCACTTCAGCGAAAAACACGCACATCACCAAATTTTTATGAATACTGTTCGAATTTGTGCCACCGCCTCGTATCAAAGCTAGAATGAGTAAGGCGGATAACAGCAAGGGCAATGCGATCATAAATGCGCTGTAACTCGTTACATCCTCCAGCAAAGATGGCTCTGGGACATACTCCGGGTCAAGTACATCAGTTAGTATTGCAAAGGTGGATAATTGGAAGCAGCTGCAGTTTACAATTGTCCCAAAAGATAGAGAATCGTCCTCGACCTCCGTCGTGCAACCCATTCGGCTCCATTCGCCAACTCTGGAACAGACGAATGAATCCAAAATGAAAAATGCGAACGAAATGGAATTTAAAGAATACATGTATATGAAACGAAATGTCGCATACTCTCTGACTGTACTCCAATGTACACACTGCGGATTAGTTCTAGTCTTAAACTCGTCTTTTTCGCTGAGCCAAAGGCTAATTTGAACTGGAGATTGTAGTGGAATCCCAGTCAGAGATTCGTAACCGTTGTCAGTGGGCACTAAAACGGACACTGTTACGACCGGTGAGCCCACAGCTACTTCTACACCCCATCTAACTGCCACAGAATCGTCAAATCTGAAAAATTTTGATTGTTACTGTATGTGTATATCCGTTTGTTATATATTATACTATATGTCCATTGCAACAAATATAACAAATTTATTAATTTGTTAAACAGCAAGTATAATAATTTACCTCTGAGGCAGTAACGCTCCTAATTGTTTATATTGCACGTAACTCAACACAGCCTTCCGATTGACCAAACTTTTCTTAACATTTAACTCCCCTTGCATTAGGGGCTTTATACCTAATATATTAAGAGGCACTCGTATCTTCGAGTACGGATCAAATCTGCTTGGGTCGGCCATGTAATTATTATACTTTGGGAAAGTAATCGACGGGCCGAAATGAGCAGGCGACGATAAGAAGGCAGAGGTATCCGGCAAGACAACCTTTTGGTCCGCTTCAGTTGGTCTCACCGTAGATACCGATGGATCGTCGGTGTACTCTGCTATTTCATATCCGAATAAGCTTTCCGAGGTTACTATGTCCAGGCCCAATACTGAAAAGGCAAATCATTCGAGATTAGCCAGTTAGAAATGTCGAGACATGTCATACAAAAATCGGTGGCTTTGCTTACCGACGTTAGCATCCACTACCTCGAAGGGATTAGTAAAGGTATCGTGCTGAGACGCAGTCAGAGTCTTCAAGTAACTCGCCATCGCATCCAAAACCATGTCGGGAGTATCGTTGTTAAGAGTTTCAATTTTCGACCACTTGTTTACGTATTTGGATTTTAAAATATTGCTAGCGATCCCAACTAGATGCGACACGTAGTCCTTGTCTTGACTGTGAGTCAGGTTCAGTCCAACCAAGCTCTCTTCGTACTGCAACAGCGCGACTAATAAAGACTCAGCGATCAACAAATCAGCTCCATAGAGTTCTTTGGTCACGTTCACTGCCCTGTGAACGTCTTTCGCTATCTTAACAGCGACGTAAGTGTTCAACGTTAGTTCCTTGGTCTCCAACGCTGCCAGCTGATGTCTTTGCTCGATAAAGGCTTCCGAGGTACAGTTAAAGAGATCAGGTTCCTGCCAACCGCCTAACTTATCGTCGCAAGATCTAGACGTCTTTCCTTCAGCCATATCAGGACAATCCTCTAAGGCGTTCATTCCGAACTTGGTCCTCGGCCACCATAAACCTTCAGCGTAAGACCTGGGACATCCGTCGTAGACCACCTCGCAGCCACGAAGAGTGACCTCGGCATACGGGTTAGGACATGCTGTACAAGATCGTCCAATGACCCCGACGCGACACCGGCACTGACCTGTCTCGGTATCGCAGCGGGGCCCGAAGCTTCCAGTTGCGTAACATTCGCAAGGAATGCACTCCTTCTTGCCAGATGGCTGATAGTGATTCTCCTTGCAGTAGCATTCGCCTGTAGTTTTATTGCACGCTGGGTCATAGCCTTTGGACTCGTCGCAGTGACAAGGTCCGCAAACCGGGGAACCCCACCAGGTGGCCGGGCAAGGTTGGTCTGCTTTGATCTCGCAGTAGTCTCCAGAGTACTCCGGCGAATTGCACTCGCATTGGTATCCCCTACGAGACGCTGCATCCTCCAAACAGGTGCCGGTGTTATTACAGGGATTCAAATCACAAACCCGCTCGCAGTTACGTCCTACGCGACCTGTCGCGCAAACGCACTCGCTCGTCTGCCATTTCGGCACGCAAATCGATGCCTCTGGACAGTCGACGTTGCACTCGGCTTCCGAGCTGCAGCCAGCCGCGACGTTCTCCTGAACGGTTGGTCGCAAGAGTACACTTTGGTTACTGCCGATACGAATGTCCTGCAGACAGCCGTCGAAATATGGTAGCTCAGTGTTCATGGATTGTTCCGGCCCACCGACCAGGATCCTACCAACGTATAGACCCTGCAGTTTCGCCGGTAGCGGAGAGGACGTGGGCCGGTTGCGGTAGTCGATGTCCAGAGAGACATGTCCGCTTTGCCACAGGATTTCCACTCTGTGCCATTCGCCGTCCGCGATGTTGTTCCACGTTTGTATGATGTCCGCACCGTCCAATAGAGCGACCAGTTTGCTCTCTCGGATCTCGAGCAATGCCGAGCTATTCTGTCCTATTTGCACGCTCATGAGGAACGCTTGCTTTGACCGCGTCCTTAAGCTGACCGCCGTTAACCAGGGCAACTGGATGGGTCTCAGCAGAGGATTGAAGCTGAGCATCCCGTCGCCGTGAAAGTTCCACGGTTTGCCGACCTCGTCAGCACAGGTAGGTCCAGCAAAGTTCTCCTCGCATTCGCAAACGAACCCGGACCACATTTCTCGACATTTGCCACCGTTCTTGCATGGCGTAGACGAGCAAAACGAGACCTTCTCTGGACAGCCAGAGTTGGTGCCATTGTCGGCCACGAAAGAATTCAGGTCGATAAAGATATGATCGATGTACAGATCGCTCACGCAACCGACAAAATCTTTATTTCTGATTCGAAAGCTAGACGGTATGGCGGGTAGACCACCTAACTGCAGGGGCCCTGTTAGATCTAAGAAACGATGACACGTCTCGGTGACAATGCTGCAGCGGTCCTCTAGCACTTGTTCGCTTCTCCCAGCGCAGGACCATTTTGTCCCTAGCCTCTCGCCGTATTCCAAGGCTAGAGCGACGTCACAGTTGTCCAGAGAGATTGTTACGGTCTTATTTATGTAAGAGACTTCTACTTCGTGCCATTGGCCGTCGGAAACACCGCCAGGTATACTGGCACTCGCTCGGGTGATCTCATCACCGAGGGAGAAACTGAACTGTACCTGAGAATCGATTATCTCTAAAGCTATAAAGTCGTGCTTCTCGTTATATCGGCCGTTGTAGAGCAAAAGTCCGTTTGTCGCTTCGGTGGCGAATCTTAGTTTCACGTGCAGTCTGTGCCTTTGCCTCAAAGAGGCGAACGTGAGGAAAGTGGCTGGCCCAAAGCTACGAGCTTTAAGCTCGCACAGTGGTGTCACGTTTTCCAAGGTCGTTACAGGGCAACCCTCGCAGGTGAAACCGCCTGTAGTTTTGATGGTACACTGAGAGCCTCCTTTGCAAATCCCTGGAGCGCAAGAATCCTTGTCGAAGGAGATTTCGCAGTTTTCTCCAGCAAATTCGGGGCTACAGGAACACGCGTATCCTCCTTCCCTTCTGTAACAAGTGCCCCCGTTCATGCATGGATTCGAGTAACACAGATTGACTTCCGTGTCGCATAAATAGGATTCCTTACTGCCGGTGAAACCCTTCGCACACCTGCACGCGAACGTTGTCACCGGATATATTGGTCTGAAGAGCACGGTATCGCTGCTCGCGAATCCAGAAGCGTTTCCAAACTTCAAAACCGTCAGACATTCTTCGAAATTCAAACAAGGTTCTCTCACGCAAAGATTGTCATCGAAGGGTAATACTGTAACAGTGGCCAGTCTCGCCAGGATACCTCGGTTCAGGTACACGCGTTCCTGAAGGAACTGAGGGCTGTAAAATTCATCCGTAACACCTGGCTCGACCTTACGCGCTGAGAAGCTCACGTTCAAAATCTTTCCGTTCACGTTTGCGTCCTCCTGTATGCTAAAGAGAAAGATATTCTCTCTAGGGCATGGAATAATAGCTGCTAAGCCATCCAGAAAGTACCCTAACAGAGGGCTAAGGAAAGCTTCAGCCGTCATGTCGTCTAATCTGACGGTGATAGAGTTTAGGAGCATTTTATCGGTGATCAAGCGTACAGAGAGTGTCATGGTAGCCTTGACCTCGTTGATACCATCCGTAACCGATACCTCCATCGTTGCAACGCGTGGCACGTTGGTATTCAATTGAGGCGACAGGCGAATTTCACCGGAGGTCCTGTTCAAGTCGATCAAATTGGCATTGTTTCCAGCGAGTACGGTGTATGTTAACTTGTCCGTGACATCCGCGTCAACAGCGGGTATCTTGCCTATCGGGGCTGTCGGGAAGAAGTCCTTGAAGTTGTTGAATATGATTTGAAAGTCTTTCAACACGGGTGCATTATCGTTCACATCGGTTACTAGTATCTGAACCAGGGCGTCCGATCTCAAAGGAGGTGAGGCAGCACGCACGACTAACTCGAACTTTTTCTTTGGCGACTCGTAATCCAGTTCTTCGAGCGTGATCAACTCCGCGCGATCAGCACCTGGTCTGATATTCAGAGCAAAACTGTTCGAATCCTCGCCGCCTATCACCGAGTACTGCACAACAGCGTTCGGTCCTTCGTCTGGATCGTGAGCGAAAATTTCACCAACCGTAGATCCTACAGGGGAATTTTCGGCTATGTACAGTATTATCTTATCATTCTCGAAAGCGGGCGGAGAATCGTTCACGTCCTCTATCTTGATAATCACTGGGACCGTCGTTGAAAGCGCAGGAGATCCTCTGTCTATCGCAACTGCCTTCAGACTGTACCTCGCGACAGACTCTCTGTCCAATGGTTTAGCCGTTCTGATTATTCCTGTGGTTGAATCTATAGCAAAGGCACCATCCCCGTCATCTTCTAAAGTATACCTCACCTGAAATAACAGCGCGATTATATACATTATACAACAACATGCACCGACCTACAAAAGTGGTATTACCCTGCCGTTGAGATCCGTGTCCGCATCGGTTGCGGAAACTCTGAGAACGCTGGTGCCAACCAGTACGTCTTCCGGGATAGATCCTTGGTACTGAGGAGCTTCGAAGACCGGCGAATTGTCGTTCACGTCCGTGACGGATATTTCTACATCAGTAGTGTCCGACAGGGGTGGAATACCTCCGTCCCTCGCAGTCACGGTCAGTAAGTACGCAGGTACGAGTTCGCGATCGAGTTGTCGAATAGTCGTGATGGCTCCGGTCTGCGGATTTATGGTAAACTCGGACACCGATTGGTCTCCGCCATCCGTATCCAAGCTGTAAGTGACTTGAGCATTCTTGCCAACATCGGAGTCGGTCGCGCTGACAACCAGGACCGTCGTGCCAATCGGCGCATCCTCGAATACGGAGACGGAGTAGGGTGCGTTCTCGAAAACGGGGGAAAAGTTATTGGCATCGGAGATATTGACATAAACGAGAGCCGTGTCGGTTCTACCGCCGCTGTCGGAAGCTGTGACGGTCAGGACGAATCTCTTCTCCTGTTTGTAGTCGAGTGGCTGGGCTACCGTTATCAGACCACGTCCATTCTGAGACGCTATCGAGAATCGACCTCTGGTATTGCCCGCGGTGATTTCATAGTGTATCCTGGCGTCCTCGTCAGGGTCGGTGGCTGTGACAGTGGTGACTGGAGTGCCCGGGGGATCGTCTTCGGAGACGACAGCCTCGTAGTTCTTAGGGTCGAAGTAAGGATCGTTGTCGTTTACATCGGTCACGGTGATTATCACGGAGGCGGTTGCAGATTTCGGTACTTCTCCCGAGTCTGTGGCAATCACGGTGAACTGGTACCTAGACAAAGCGACTAATTAATTCGAGTTTCGCCAAAACATGAGGAAATAAGAAGAATGAACTGTGAGTACTTGGAACATTGCTCGCGATCGAGCTGCTTCGTCGTGAAGATCCATCCGGTCTCCCTGTTCACAGTTATAGGGAAGTTCTCCGTGGATGCACCGGAAAAGTCTCGAGCTCCTATGGTGTACTTTATCTGAGCGTTCGCACCCTCGTCGGCATCGTAAGCCTGTATCCTCAACATGCAATAACCTATAGGCACGTTCTCAGAAACGGACTCTTGAAAATGACTGGTGTAGAATCGCGGTGCATTATCGTTAACGTCTCTCACGTGCACCAATAACTGCGTGGTATTAGATCTGGCTGGCGAACCACCGTCCTGAGCACGAATTACTATCTTGTAGCTCTTGGTGGATTCGTAATCCAGCGGCTTAACGAGGGCAACATCGCCGACCATGGAGTCTATCGAGAAGGTATTCTGCGTGTTCCCACCGATTATGGCATATCGAACAGCCGCGTTATTTCCTGCATCCGCGTCCGCAGCTCGTATACGCGCTATCACCGGGTTCGCCGTGTAATCCAAGTCCTCTGGTATCCAAACAGAATAAGTACGTTCTGTGAACTGAGGGTAATTGTCATTATCGTCCAGCACGCGTACCACCAACGTCGCGTTCGCGGTCTTTCGCGCGGAAGGCGGTGTCGCTTGATCGGTCACGCTCAAAATGACCGTGTACACTTCGGTCTTCTCCCTGTCGAGAGGCGTGCGGGTCGTAACTACGCCGGATCTGGGGTCTACTCTAAAGGTCAGTACATCCTCGGTGGTCACAGCTCCATTGCCGCTAGTCGTGGACAAAATGGAGTACTCGACCTCTGCGTTCCTGCCGGCATCCTGATCGGTCGCCTTCACCGTGACAACCGTAGAACCTACAGGTACACCCTCCCTGATAGAAGAATCGTACTCTGGCCACTCGAAGCTGGGAGCATGATCGTTCGTATCGAGAACGTTCACTTGCAGAGTGGTGGTGCCAGTCCTTGGGGGAAAGGAGTCGTCAACTGCGAGTACCCTGAAGTAATGAACGTCCACGCTCTCCCTGTCCAATCTGGCGCGCGTAGTGACCCTTCCAGTGACAGGATCCAGGATGAGCAATGCCTGTGATCGTGCATCCAACAGGGAACTCATGGAGTAACGGACCGTCCCGCCCTCGGGGTCTCTGGCACGGACCGAAGTGACGTACACGCCGGGATCTTTTTCCTCTTCGACGGCAGCCACGTACAGGGGTTGCTCGAAATACGGAGACTGATTCTTCAATTCCCTCCGCACTCGTCTCCCCAGATCCGTGTCGTCCAGCTGACGATGGTGAAAGACGATCTTCAGACGGTGCTCCGCGTCGGTTAACCGCGACTCCATGCCGCACCTGAGGTTCATCGATACAGAGATCTTCCAGAGCGGGTCCACCAGGCATTGCTCCGTCGCCGAGACCAAGTCCCCCGCCGCGCCTTCGATCAGGAACCTAGGATCCGCTACGCCGCCCCACCTGGTCTCGCACTCCTTCAGCGCGGTCTGTGGAAGGAAGTCTCTCAGCGCCGCGACCAGCTGCGACGTTCTAAGGCAGACCTCGGTGAACCTGTCGGCGGACAGAAGAACAGCATGCGAATCTTATTATTCCTTATCTCGATTACCGTTGCCTGTTTCCCGGCGAAACTGCTCGCGCTAACCACCACGTAGAGCATCGTGTAAATTCATCAGAAAAATAAAGCGAAAGCTCGCATGGCAGTTAATGCGGCTGGCTAATTACCAAGAGTTATCTAAATGAACATCAACCACGGGTTACTCTCCCGTTCCTTTGACTCGAGTAGATAAGAAACGAAGGTTCACCTCTCGGTACTGGGCATGGCGTACGAGGCCACGGTCTCCGCCATCCATCCCCTAGTGGCGGCTAGATCTCGGTTCTCCCCGCCACAGCCGGTGATCAATATTCTGAGGGGTAGGCTGTAATAGTCGATCGTTGGCCTGCCTAGCCTGGAACTGGTCGAGTCCACGTAGAAGGTGAAGATCCGTGGGTACCGGAGGCCATCGCAGCTCAACGGCCGCGCCAACGTGACGCGACCTGTGTGAGGATGCACCTTGAGCAGCTTCCTGGCGAACCACGCGGTCCGTTCGTTCGAGACCTCGTACTTTCGACGGCCACCCAGCTGCGGCACACCTGCCTCGAAAACCAAGCTGCCGGTCGGTGTACTCGAGGACAGCACCGCCAGGTACGCGTCGGTCAGGGTCCCAAAGGCCGCGAGCAAAGGGAGGATCCATTTCCACCTCGCCATGGCGGCCACCCTCTTACAACGACCGCTCCTTCTTCTCGTGTTCTACCCTCCCAGACAAGTGTCCCATTGTTGCCGACTCTCTTCCTGCTCTTCCTGCTCGCCCGGTTCAACGCGCGCTGGCACGCTCTCCCATCTGCGGAAGGGAAAGATTTTCTTCTTCCTCTGACAACTAAATTGCATCGTTATTTCACCCCTTGCACCGGCTGCTCTTAATTGCAATCTGAATACCCTTAGAATTGGTTACGGCTAGCGGAGTAGGTTCGAATTGTTTGTAGCGCGCCACTACTTCCCGTTCGCTTCGATTAACCCTTTCGTTGCTACAAGTGACTATAGTCACCCGACATCGAGTGCTCACCGTGTGCTAAAGGTGCCTGTAGTCGAGTGCTCGCTGTGTACTAAGAATGACCACGGTCACCCGTGCCGTGTTCGCTGTACGAGGTGATTACAGTGATCCTTAACATCGCACGTTCGCTGTAAAGATGACCGCAGTGTCACTTCGCGTCAAAATACCGCATTAATCGACGACTCGGAGATCAACGCGATTACCTGCCACGTTCAATCGGAATTTCGTTATTCCGACCGATTCATCTTTGTTTGTAGCAGTTGGTACATCGATCGGCTTAAGAACGGAGAGACTTAAAACGTAGACTGGTGGCTCAACTGCTCCGCATAGCGGTAGCTCGTTGGCGACCAACTTGGTCGTAAGGACAGGGCTAAACTCGTTCCTCCGAGGAACACGAGGAATACGCATGTCACTCGTTAGCTGAAAGATCGCGACCTTGAGCGAGACTCGTGCAGGAAGACAGCCGAATCAGCCTGACTTCCTTGGCCCCGACAACTGGCAGAACGCTTTAAATAAAACGATCGTAAACGGAGCAAACGAGCAATCTCGCGAACCACTGAATAATTCATCGTACGTAGAAGAGGGCATAGAGTGCGACCTAGGAAGCTGCCGTGGACAAAAACCTGCAGAGTCTGCCGAGAGACCTACCTACCGAGTGTTACTTTTGCTAGAATTTATTAATCTGAACCAGCCTCGTGTCTTCCTTTCCGTTTAATTGCGTTTTCCTCGCGTAGAATCGGTGAAAAAACGCGTCTAGCACGGCCGCTTTCTTGCACCGAATATCTTCCGCGAGTGTGAGAATGCGACTCCCGCCGCAAAACGTGGGAACGAAGATTTCCGTTCGTTTCACCCTCCTCGTTCCAACGTTCGTTCCCTTCTACGGCAAATTCGTTGACCCTGGTCTCCCGTTTAACGCACTCCCTGGTTGCATCCTCTGTGATATCCAGATTTCAGCCTGTCTGAATCCTTCTTCGTCATTGACGATCATCGTACGTTGATCGAGTAGTCGTCGATAGACCACCAGGACCACCAGGACCACCTGGTCCACCGAATCGACGGGATCCTACGGACTCCATTCACTCGGTGATTTCACCGAGAGCTCTGGCGCGTGGATGAAAAAGTTTCAATGCGTCGAGAATATCCCCCCGTTAGCTCCGAGCAGGACATCGAAACGTGTAATCTCGCAGGATGCAGTTCAAACACCCGTTCCGCTGGCAAATAAGAAGAAACAGTTGGCACGAAGGGCGTCGTAATTCCGGCCCTTGCTTCTACTCGTCCCTCAAGACCACTGCAAGCTTCTGCCATTTTAACGCGTCGATGAGCGACGAGAGCCTCCCCAACTTCCACTGTTTCTTCGTGGAATATTCCTAGAATCGCGGTTTGCTCCTCGCCTCTGTTCAGCTAAAGTCGAAATCAAGAGGAGACTTAGTTTCGTCCGATTAGGCGATTAAGATGGATGAAAGGTGTCTTCCGGATGGGGTGCTCCATCATCTCCCGTGTCCGTTTAAGCAAATTAAGATCGCGACAATTCGCTTCGCGTGTTTGTTACCCTCGTAACGAGTCGAGACGTCGTAATCGATAAAAAGCGTTCCGGATGGCGTCCTCCGCGGGAAAGTATGTCGGCCATGGAAGAAAAAGTTACGAGAGATTCTGGCAAACAATAAAAGCCACTAAATAATAGCGTATAACGGTTGTACGAAATTGCATCTGTTCCGGTGTACGATTTATTTCCTCCCCAAAGGGAGACTGCGGTATCAACTGAAAGAGAAAGAGAGACCAGGAACAAGAGAGCAGAAGATTCAAGACCGGGAGCTAAAGTTGGTCCTCCTCACGGAGTAGAGAACCTTGGTTACGCTGATGACATCGTGCTGACATGGCTATATCGGGTATATTGGAAATTGCTATTATCCAGGATGTCAATTATGCCATTCGAAGGAACGAAGGCTTAGCCGATGCTGCGTACTGGGTAGAGGAGGCTGACCGTAACGCGTTTAAGAAGACACCAAGGCAGTACGTGGCGCAAAGGACGGTCGTCTGCAATGAGCATCTTCTTCGTCCCGTTTGTTTTATTGCGTTAGAGAATCGCCGGTCCTGGAGATCACGGGACTAGTTGACCGTAGTGAGAGCACGATAGGTCTCTGGTGGCATCGGCTGGCGATCCTCCTTCCCCGGAGGCTAGCCGATCCGGTTTGACCAATCCAAACGGATGGTGCATCGGCACGAACCAATCGAACGACCGCTTGCACAAGCAGGTACGAGCAGGTAGACAACGAGCACGGACCAGCCGACTCGCCTCCAGAACAAAACGACCTGACGCAAAGGAGAAAAAAGAAGGAACAGAGAGATGGCCAGGGACGCGGTGCTTATAGGTGGAGGGCCGCTTCTTCGTTCCTCCTGAACGCGACGCATGACCTTTCCTTTGCCTCTATAATACTCCACTCGATGCTACGCTATAGCCTTTTATACACACCTTCATCCCCAACGTGCACGTTCCAGCGCATTTTCCTTCGCCGGCCGCAGGAACCCGTAAAAACCGGTACCATGCGTGACCAACGTGTCGCGAGAAGATCCACCGGCTGAGATCCATGGAAAACGAAATTGCGGACGGTCCCGCTGAGCTTGCAGAAAAACCAGCGAATCATCCAAACACTCACGAGCCACGAGATTGCTTACGATGAGTTTACTGCAACGCGTAGGATGGAGTAATTCGGAAGATCGTTGAGATAGCAGAGCTGGGGTTCCTGGCCACGCCGGTGCCCTCTAATAACTCGCAACTATGCCTATCGCCCAACTGCTGTTATTAATGTAATTGCTCGACCGAAGGAGATAGGAATCAATGGGTGTAACACCTACGTGCCAACTACCGTTCTTCCCCCTCGGGTTAAGCACGTTTACACCGAGCGAAACGATCCGGGTACCCGCGAGAAAATGGTCATTTTTGCGCGCAGGCTGGACGCGTCGTTCTCGAACGATGAAACACGCGCCCCGCGATGGTATTCCATGGACGATGCACGCACCTTTATATTCCAGGCTCGTTCTCGCTCACACTTTGCCGACTCTTAAATTCCGGTTAACCGTCCAGTGGAAAATACGCGATAACGATAACATCTCTCCGCCTCAAGATTCCAACCCCGGTACTCGTGTTTCTCTAAGGCAAAATTAATTGTCCATGATGGTCCGAGTTCTGTTCGCGCGAATGCTACATATTCCTAAGAGTCGATCGGAGGAAAGGAGCCAAAGATTCCTTCGCTTTCCGTGAAAGAGCTATTAATTATACGAAAGATGGCTGGACGACTAGGCCTGGAATTCGAAGCTACCAATTATCCTCGATCGCCATGCCCAGGCCTTCCCTTCTAATGGCGGCACCATTTTCGAATCGGTCGAGTGGCTTCTCGGAAAACACGGATAAGTTGTGAGTAGCCCATCTTCAGCACCCACCAAACTAGTCGCCGCGCTCTGGTGAACCCAGCTGCTGGCTTATCGGGAAGAACCAGTCTCGACCAACAACGAACCGCTCGATTTCGTTCTTTTTAATGAAGACGTAAACCAGGTTTACTACCCTTTCCAGAGATCGCCGATCCAATTTACTGTTTCGTCGGCACGCGTCTTTTCGCCGGATTACACGAGCCACGAGCTCCTTTTCGCGCGACCAATCGAACGCAGAGGCGCCATCCGCCTTGTTAAAAGGGACTACACCGAGATTTATCACTCGATCGATCCCGTCCATCGATTTCATCCATCGATCGCGTTCATCGAGATCGGATAGGAGGCAACGATAACGTTTCGTAATCCTACGGTCGAATCTATCGTAACGACGTTTTAATACGACCTCTGGTGAATCCCAACTGGCACCGACGTTACAAATCCCTCTTGATCTCGTTGATCCGTGAGCGGAAATGCTACAGAGCCGGAGTAAATCGCCGCAAAGCGTTCGAACAGCTCTTCTAACGGCGAAATAATTACGCGATAAGGAATAACTACGAAACAACAGAACAGCCTTCCTGTACCCTGGAACAGGTAGTACATTCGCTCGAGACATTGAGTGGTCCGTGTAGCTAAGTCGATGTCTTTTTACACGCGTTACACGCTCGGAGAAATTACACGATACCGAAGATTCGAGAGGGCTATCGCGGCATCATCATGGTAATCGCCTCGCTTATCGTTTTCTACACGATTTTCGACAGATACCTCTTTGTCGGCCATTCGGGGCCTCATCTTCGTGTCTTATTACGATTACGTACGGTGATCTGGCAGGCTGGCGAAGCCTGGCTGAAATTAGGGAGGAATTATTTCCCTGGGAAGAGAACCGGCTCGACATCCCCGATAGCTGTTGGCCGATGAGGATTTTCGGCTCCGGCCATTGCAACTTTTCGTTTTCTCCTCGGGCTTGCCTTCGTTCATCTCGTCGCTTGACGAATGAACATGCGAGGAACGCCGCATTCCTATTACAATAACCGGTGTACACGGTTCCGTTCAAGGCTGCCACAGTCAGGTACAAGATCAACGCTGAGAACTGGCCGTGTTAGTCTTTAACTGACAATGAAACTAGCTTCGGAGATGCGATCTAGCTACTTTGCCTGCTGGGTTTCAGCTCTTTCGCTGCTTGCTCGTGCCAGAGAATCGAGTCTCGAGCGAATTGCGATGTCAACCTTGCCGAGAATGCGAAATAGAGAATTTCATGGACAATTCGTCGCGATTAAGACCGAGGAAGAACCTAACTTCGTCGACGTCTCGAAACGAGTATACAAGGGCCAGAGGAGGACCTAACTTTGCAACGTCTCCACGACGTATATGCGAGGACCCCAAATTACGCTTTACATTTTTCACTGGTATAATAACAATAAAGGCCAAAACATGGAGACCAACGGCTGGATAATCATATGCAGCTCGACATGAAGTGGCCCAAGAGCAATCACTCCTTGGAGTACCTCCTCGGAGCGGGGTCCTCGCGGCTAACAACAGAGTCTTGGCTTAACTTTGACTAACTACTCCTGGGTTGACTTCTCCGTTAGTTCGACCTGGTCCATTTGGACACTTTCAGTGTGCAAATCGCACGCACCATCAGCTACAGGGGCAGTAGGGTATGCCACAAAGGCGAGGAACCGCAGGATCAGCGCACTGCGTGAAGCTGCTCAGCAAAGACACGATCCTTGGTACACCAACGAATCCTCCTGAGGGTTTACGAGCGAGATTCAAATGAAAATCGTACTATTTCGAGGCAGTTACAATAAGAACCGTTATCCGGTGTACGTGAAGGCACATACGCGTAACGGTGCGCGACAAAATCGGAAAAAGACGAGGCGTAGACAGGCTACCGTCGTCGGACATGTTGCAGCTCATTGATTTCTCGAATACAGTTTCTTCTCGAGCGACAGCTTCTTCGAATTCTGATAATTGGTCACGAACGGTGATGTCGGGAGATTTCGCAGGAAAAGATGGTTAATCGCCGCTGCATGAATCGCGAGTAGCCTGGATCGATCGACACGCGTCTCGGGGAAAATAATGCGACTCGTTACGCGGGGATAAGTCCAGGATTTGAACCGTGCTCGTGTTACGCAGCGATACCATCTTCCTAGTCATGCTAGCCGAGCGTCTTTCGGTTTGCTCGAAAATAAATCCCACTTTTCACTTTGCGCTCATTCATTCGGTCATCGTACGTGCATTCTTGCTTGCGTTTCTTCGCTTTCTTACGCCTTTCGCTTGATTATAAATACGGCAGCGAGAGCCGGAATTACTTTAACTTACAAATTCTCCATTGTATTTAAGGCGGTATTCTAGTCTACAGGCCAATTTTTTATATGCTATTTGGGATTTTTTTTCAAGAACCATAAAGACGTGTCCTAAATTAGAATTTCAGAAATTTCTCCCGTTGTCGGGGAAGTTAGGCAAGCGACGCAACAAAATTCTTGCATGCCTTTAGAGAAATCACGCGATTCGGATCTGACGAGAACGATGTTTCTCAAAGCGATTAAGATATTCTAACGGGTCGATATCGATCGGTGAGAAAAATTTAATCTCTGCTTGAAAATTCGAAAAGGGTCTGTAGCATCCTATATCGATGCAGGCGTAGTACGGTGCGAAGATAGTTAACCGCAGATAAAAGTCCTACGGAAGAACGCTCAATTTTATGGAACCTGTTCCCACCGTGGCTCCCTCAAACGGGTTTAGTTAGGTGCATACATTTCACGCTCGTATGCGTGCACGGCCGTCTTTAAAGGTCGTAAATTAGCGTTCCGTTCTTACGACTGTGCGGTGAATCCGAAAATTCGTAAGTATCTTAATTAAACCGCTGCTAAATCCCGCGACGACAGCTTCGATACGCGTTTATTTCTTAATTCCGTCGACCATTCCGTCCGCGAACGTTCCTGCTGCTTTTTCGATGCTTGCCTTCAAATACTTGCATATCCAGCGATTTTAATCCAATCGTTGTTTCTTAATCTAAAAATTAGATAAAACGTATGAGAGACTCTTTTCAAAAATCGTTATAACCTGCAAATCGATAAAATAAAAATTCGGTTACCGTGAAAAAGTTAGGTTATGATATCCATCGATGATTATTTGCGACGTTTCGAAATCTAGACATTAGATCGAAAGTATCGGAGATTGTTTTCGAAGACCGACATAACCTGCAAATTAGTAGCGCAAAAAATTGGTTACCGCGAAAGAGATAGGTTAAGATATCGATCGGGAGTTATTTCCATTAGCGAGATGCTCTATCGACGAAAAGAGCAACTTCCGTCCGAATGTTGCAGTCTTTTTGCACACAACAGCGAATCGAGTCGAGTCGAGTCGAGTCGAGACTACTCGAGCCGCGATACAAGAAGAGAGGGTGAAAGAGAAAAGTCATCCTTCTCTCCTTCTCCCTCGCAATCAGGGGTGAGTGACTCACGTTCCGCAGCTTCGACGCCGACAGTCGGGACGCTTACCCTCCAAATATTGATTCGCCGGCTCGGGGAAACGAGACGGCTAACCCTCGTCGCAACGGCGTATCTAAATTTTTCTAACGCAGCATTTCTTGGCTTCTTATTCACCCTGGGTCTTCATCTACTCGCGTTACAACTTTCTCCTCTCATCGGAAACATTTCGATCGCATGAAATTTGCATATTCGCTTTTCAGCCGCGTGTCTGGAGGTATGTATTTATGTACGTCAAGTCGTCGAGAAAGATTGCCAGACGCCAATGTGTCGCGTGTTGAATCGATCAAACGCTTCCATATATTATTGCGCGCGGAATATACGTAGATAGAATACGGGAAGTGCTTGCAGAAAATAAAAAGCAGGACGAGCCAATTGTATGCGTCAATGTCAAGAATTTTCAGCCAGTGAACACGTAGAAAGAAGACACTCGCGCCTTTTCGTTTCGTTTTTCTGTTTCCTTATTGCCTTTTCCCCTGGATCGACGTTCGAAACAACGGAAAAGACGCGAATCGCATTCTCGTTAGAGACGAAACTCGAATGCTCTAAGAGGTTAATACGAAGACGATATTATGCGCGATCGGAAGGAAACGAACTCGTTTGGCCGTCGGAAGATGAAGAAAAGGGTACAACACAAAAGCAGAAAGTATAATTGTAGACCGGGCTCGTTACACGTCTCGCTATCGTAGCAATTAATAAAGCATTTTTCCCGTGAGAATACACCGGTAGAAGAATCACCGGCAGCGTGTACTCCGCGCGTTCGTGCACGGATAAAAAATGAAGCGCCGACGAACATGCCATTCAAAAAGGTCACTCACCATCCCGCCAAGGTCGCCGTAATTTTGTCACATCGCGAGTCACACCCAGCTTCGTCGATTCTTAATCCTTTCCCGGCACTTTCTCCCGTCAAGCACGCGAAATTCGGCGAGAAACGAATCACACATACACACGGCGTGAACACTGTGACGAGATCACGAAGAACGACGTGCACGCACTTCAGCTGCTCTCGGCAGCGTCGCGACTACTACGAACCACTATACACGCACGAACCAATCTTACGTGCGAGCGTAGTAGAGGGCGACTACCTGCGACCGTGTATCTCGACATTGACTTCGAGCGACGATCAAACGACCAAGATCTCCGTACCGGCCACTGATCCGCGGTTAATACGTTCTTTTTTCTGCACTCCTTTTTCCCTTCCTTCAAAACTGTCAAACCACTTCTGGAACCACTGCGAAGAATAGTTTTTTTATCGAAGGCCGAACCGAAATCGAAAGCGATGAGAGTAACTCAGTCATCGTGTTCAAATTTTTATTTCTTGTTCGATGATCTCGAATAAACATTAAAGAGTAATTTTTGTTTATGATACTAAGAATTTTGTATCGAATAATAACAACGATACAATTCGATTATCGAATATAAATATTTTTGAAAGTCGGTATCTAAATCGTATTATACGATTAATTCTAAATCTTTCGAATCTTCTTAATTATTTTAACATTTCCTTTGCTATATAAATTTCAGAATACTTTTTACATGATACGCTTTAACGTATCGTTATGCAAGTAATGTTACAACTGTGGTTAACAAAAGATCGATGATTTCTGTCTTCAACTTTTATTGGTCAGGAATTGAAAATATGAAATACATAGTATCATAAGTACTTATACGAAACATGTACTTTCTAATTTCGTAAAACCATGAATATAGCTTAAGAAATCATCATCCCCGTAACTACTAACCTGTGTATATTCCGTATTGATATTAACGTTCTTTAAATGTTACAAATGAAATTCATTACATACGGTAAAAGATTTAGATAAACTAAAACGTTCGAGCACACACCTTGCTACCGTCGACAGCGTCGGCGACTGTTGCAAACTCTCTCTTGCACGTGCACGAAACACGTATACATTTAAACGCTGCATATACATGAATATCCCGAAACAAATGATTTTTACGTGCGATATTTTTAAAAATACTAAAACGTAGATATATCTATTATTATTTATATGCTTTTTCCTTCGAACTTTTATAATGCTTAAGATAAATACTGATGGAATGAATTGTAATAGAAGAAATATTTTTCCTAGTATTCGAATCGAATTAAAGCACACTGAGTCGGCGGTTCATTTGATGAAAGCGCCACCTATGCATAGCTTAAAAAGAATTGTATCAGAGGGCGCCATCGGTTTAAACACTCATTTGTATGTTTTGTTTGCTATTTTTTGACATGATTATTACAAAGTCTAGAGTCTGTAGTAATGTCATATTTGATTTTTTCTCACAAAATTTATATGATACTTGTAGTAGAAGAAAGTAAGAATTTTACTGACAGTTGAAATTTTCTATTGATTATTCTGTAATTATCTGATATTTCCTGAATATTATTTTTAAAGTAATGTAAAATTAATTATATGTACACATACTTTTGTATTTATTATATTTATAAACAAAGTATTGTATGAAAAGGATATCATATGGAGCAAACTAAAAGTGGAGAACGCTATTTTCATAAATTTAAAGCTAATAATGTTTGGAAAGAATTTAATTGCCCAAAATATGTTAGTCATCTTTGTCTTAAAACTGATAAATTACCAAATAACGTATTTAATTTCGAGAAAGAATTAAAACTGGATACAAATGATATTCTACAAAAATTAGATGATCTCATATCTGATCTTGTAACAAGTGGTAGTGTAATTCGTATATGTAGACTTTTATACGATTACCTCAGTGAAGTAGGAGATAGTGGTTATGTATCCTTTAATGAACATTTTTTTATCTGTGTAATATTTTATATATTGATATACATTCTTACTGATTAATAATTACTCGTTCTTGCTCTTTTTTTTTTTTACAAATATATTTTATCATTTATGAAAGAAATTTCCTTAGAAATTTTTAGAAAGTTAAAGATTTACCATTGGTAATAAAAGTATTAATATTTTTGGCTGAAAATGTTAAAAAAGTTAAAGAATATAAATTTCATCTTGATAGAATGTTGGAACTTTGTAATATAACACCTTTATTAGAAAAATCATCTGAAAGTTTAACTCACGAGAATACAATGGAACAATATTTTACAATGTTAGGACATCTTTTGATTATCTTACCAACAAAACAACAAATATCAAAGGTTCATAGAGCTCTTCACTCTTTACTTTTAAAAGCACAAGTAAAAGATGCTGCTGCTGTAAAACTTGAATATTGCCGCAAATGCATGGAAAGATCAAGGTTGCCAATGACCGTAGCTGAATTATTACAAGCTTCTTCCACAGAGATGTATCCAATAATTTTGGGACTGGTTTTCTTACTTTCATCTATCTCATACAAATGTTGTATGTATCGAGGAATTAATGTTCCAACTGAAAACCTAATATGTTTTTAAATGACCATGTTTTCTATTGTACACCTATAATGTTAAATAAAGGTTATAGAATGATGGAAGCTAAAGTACTCAATGTCATACTCATCAGAATGGATCTTCCTTATGCAACTGAAATATATTGTACACGGCCACCTGATTCATTGATAGGTGGAATTGAATATGATGATGAAACAACTCTTTTAATAATGAACATTCTATGGAGTTTGATGAAATCTATTACATTTCCTATTGATATACCAACTAATTTAATAGAAAATTTAATATCAACACATTGTGTTTTATGGTAATATTTCACGGTAAATATGAAATAATATAAAATATTATATTACGAAACTAATTTATATACAGGGGTCTATGCTATGCATTTAAACGACAGATATATTACAGCCAATATAGGAACTTTAATACAAAGATTAGAAATGAAATTGCTATTATTATTCTTCTAATTTCAATTACTTTGCCCTCTTGGAATCTTGTTAGTGGTGGTATAGCTGATACCGTTATTAAATATTTAGTTGGAATTGAATCTGATTATGTAAGAGTATTTTCAGAAATAATAAAATTTGATAGAACTGATGAAAATTTATACTTTGAAAAAGTTTTACTATTAATTATTACAAATTTAGCAGAAGTTGATGCTTGTATTTATGTAATTATATTTTCAATTATACATGATAAATTATAAAAGAACGTTTTCATCTGACATTGATAATTTTATGTTATAATCAATGATAGTTAATGGTAAGAAGAAAGCTGATGGAAACTATTCTTCAAATTATTAATCCAAGCATTAAGGAAATAAAAAACACCTGGACTGCATCTCAATTTTGGGATTTATGGATGCATGCTATGAATGCCTTGTCCATATTGGCACCAAAAATACCAGAACAATTTGTGAAATATAATGGTGTCATTAGGTAGATATAATAAATAAATATCAACATTATTTTTATGATATTAAACAAATCTAAATATCTTATAGATTGTGTCAAGTATTAGAATGGTGTTTAAATACAAAATTTAATATAAAGATAATTATAACTTGTATGAATACAATTTGCATAATTATACTAAGTGACGATAAATATTTACAAAATTACTTTCGAGAGTATGGGAGTATACTATTATTAATTAGTTAGTTCTTTATTTACAGTACATTATACTTATTTAATTTCATGATTTCTCAATTGTACTTTACATGATAATTTATATTTTACATATTGCAGAACTTATTATGTATATTTTGAAATTTGACAAAATTAAAATGAAAGAGCAAAGAATTTTAACATTGGCATTAATATCAATTGAAAGACTTATGAGAAAACAAGTATTGTATCAAAAAATGTATCAAGATTACAGTGTTACATTTATTATGGAACTATTATTTCGTTGTGTATATCAAAAAGATCAAGAATTTGAACTAGATCAACGGTAATATGAATTTATGAGAACAAAATGTTTAGGTATTTTTATGTAAAAAGTTTTATTAGTCTTTTGCTAGCAATAGGTTCATACATTTGGGAGTGTATAATATGGCATCCTGAAAGCCTAGAAAAATTCATTCAATATGGAGGTGTTTATATTATTCTTGATGTTATTGAAATTGTTCCATATTGTTCTCGCTGCTTATTTCTTGCTCTTTTTACCGATATATGCGATAATTCTTTTTGTGGATCATTTCTATGTACATGGAAAGGAATTGATAAAAGAACAGGATTAATGTCCTTATTAGCCAAATTATGGAGAGAAGAAGAAATACGAATTAAAGTTAAAAGAAATGAGGATGGCACTGTCAAAGGCAAATAACAAGACAACTTTAATTTGTGTATGATATATAATATAAAATTCAGCAAGTTAAATACATTATTTACTATTCTAGATGAAGAATTGCCTCAAATGGGTAACAAGCAGTGGGTAGATACATATTGCATGAAGTTATTTAGAGACAACAGTCCTGCAGTAATAGATATGATTGGCTCAATTAGATCAAAAATATATAGTATTTGCAAGATAATTGAAAGAGATGGTGAACGATATGATATGGCTAAGGAACGATATAAAGTATTACATGCTAGTCTTTCAATAGAAGATAGAGTGAGTTGTACAAAAATATTCATTGCATTTTCATATATTGCAACTAACATTTAATATATGTTACTTGATTTTTACAGATTACAATATCTACCATACAATTGTATTTCACATTGAAATTAGGTCAGGTATGGGTAGAAGTTGCTAAGTATTTTGAACAAGTTGGTATTACTCCACTTGGCATGGATGGGCAAGCACTTTTTTTAATGATCCAGCGGTATTATTTATGGGGTTCATTAATAAAAGAAAGACAAGCCAGAATAAAACAATCTATAAAAAGAGAGGAAGACATAAAAGAAAAGGATGAATATGCAAGAATTCGTGATTCTAAACTTATTCTAGCATTAGATGCATTTGATGAATTAGATTACATATATAGAACAACAGATAAATCATACATGTTAAAGAAAAAGTATGAACAAATACAACAAGTTAATTTAGCACTAAAGTTTCCATATGACACAGATGATACACACTGCCATAGGACATTTCAAGATAAAATAATGGTCACGGTACACATAAAATATTTTTACTCAACTTGAGTTTTTCATTGCCATTGCCATTTTCATTTTCTCTTTTTTCTTTTTAGTATATATTTAAATTTTAATTTCTTCAAACTTTTCAACACAGGCTATATTTAATCAACATCAAACAATAAGCACTGGTTTGAAATCAAACACAAATTTAAGTCAAATGAAAATGAAATTTCTTCCTGTTTCACCCTGTGATTCCTACATGTCTGACAAGACATATTCTGAATTATCGCAAGTTTCTTTATCAAGTGCTTGCTTTTCCCAAATAGTAAAATTTGTAGAAAATGAAGAATAGTTATTTTTAACTCAAAATCATAAAGTATATTTTATTTTAACAAAATATATATTATCATCTTCGGATATTATAGAATTCTTCATTGCCAACGTAAATAACAAGTACAATTATTTATGTTTTAAGCTATATTTAATAATAAAGATGTAAATGCAATTAAAAAATTTATTTTTTACTTTATCCAGTAAAAGATACTGACATAAAAATTTCTGTTATTTTCTTTTGATTATCATCATTAAATTTTTTCGTCACCGTTATAAAAGAATTTCTATTGAATCAAAATTTAACCCAATTATACTGCAATATTTAAATAAATGCACATAAGAGTGATATATTGATAGAAAAGTTAAAGCTAGTGGAATTCACTAAAGGAAACTTAGATCTCGCAAACCACAAATTTAGAAAGTATAGATGAACAACTGATTGGTACAGAAGAATGAAGCCTTGATCTTGAGAATCGTAAAGTGTAATTACTTTTACATTTAATATTTTCTTTCTCGTCACCGTTAGCTCAATGCATGTACGATTGGCAATCAATTACTAAGGCAAACTCACCGGACGTATGATAAATCGCTGGAAATTTTATAGGGAGAGAACCTGAGTATATAATTATTGTATAAAGTAACTTAAATAAAACTTGTATAAAATCTCGATTTATACTAAAATATATTTATATTTGTTTCTAAATATAATTAAATAAATTAAACCTCTGGCAGAGAGAACATATTTTCCAACCCTAACCTAATTTAACCTAGATTTTCTGAATTGGAAATTTACGATAATTAGTAACTTTCTTCACTATTTCTTTACTCATAAGCTCTTCAACTATATATCACAACTTCAAGTACTCTAAATATTACAATATTATCGAAATCGTAACATCGAGATTTAAAATTGAAAGTTCTCACTGGTTATGTTTATTCGAAATATATCGAGAAAGGTTTTCCAGGGTTAGCGATGGTTTTATTGGTTCCGCCATTATCTGGACTCTAGATTTATTATTATCTAGATAACGTAACGGAAACTCTGGCAGGAGAGCGGATGAAGAATGCGGCGGCAAGCCAGTGAGAGCCAACATGCCGTTCCCGCCGCAAGCGATTGTCGTCGTCGTCCTCGTCTGTCTGGTACCGGTTTAAAGACGTGTCGGAACAAAGTCCTCGGCTGCCTGTCTCGCCTTCTCGCGCACAGTTCGTGCCTATCGTGAAAGAAACACAAATTACCGTATAGGTCGCATGTTTGCATTGAAATAATCGCCGTCGCGCAAAATTGTTTTTCGATGACATTTGTGAGCATCGTTGTGAACGTTTATGTAAGACGAACCGTGAACCGCATCGTCTATTATAATTTCCCCAAAAATTCGTCCGTTATCCTTCGTTAGCATCATTTACCTCGCGTTCATCATTTTATTTGTCGCTGTTTCCGTCTTTATCTATCATTTCTTGTTTCATCTTTGTCGTTTCCCATACCCCCTCTCTTTGTTCATCCTTCCGTCATCGTCTCGTCGGTCGCGGAAGGCAGACGGGACACGAAGCGCACGGATTTATATTCGTGTAGCGCAGGAGAGTTTAGCAGCTTCGTAAATATGGCGTGTGAACCGTGGTGCTTTAACCGTGGCTGTGACGAAGCTCCCCGACGATGGCTGTTCATCCTGTTGCTGGCTTTCTGCGTACTCGGACAACTCGGTTTGAGCCTTGCGGACAACGAGCTCAGTGAGTCTTTTCAACTTGTTGCGCCTATGCCTTCTCTTTCTCAACTCACTCTCTCGAAAGAGGATGTTTCACGCAGACGCAAAATATAAAGAAATCGTTTCATAGCTAAAAGAGAAAGACGCTCACGGATTATCTGCTCCGGAGTCAGGTAAGAAGAGAATAATCGAAAAGAAAGAAAGGAAGGAGAAAGAACAATTTCTTCGCCGAGGGAGAAAATGAACGTACGCTTCTTCCTACGCGCACTACTACGCAATTTCACTAAGCGTGACTGTGTCCCCCTTTAAAGAAACAACTTCCCTCGTCCTGCTCCGTTTTATTACACGATTTTCATTACGATAACTAAACTTCGACTCGTCGAAAATCTAATCGTTTGCAAATCGTATACTCTTACTGGTGCGAAAAAAAGCTTTTAATAAACAAATTTTTTTTAAATGTTTTATTTTTTACACTTTTTTTTATAAAATTATATAAATACATTCCTCTTCATTTTCGTTTTCGTTTACACGAATATATATTCCTTTTCCCCTGTTCCTGTCGTACCTTTCTGTTATTAATACTGTTCTCATTAATATCGTATATTGTTATCGTGATTATATAATTACATGCCGTTATTCGTCGTTCAGTGAATAAAAATGATAATCCTAACCTGAGTTCCTGGAAGTGGTAGGTGTACTTGCAAACGACAAAGCGATCGATTTGAAACAATATAGTAACATGCGTTATTCTTTCGCGTTTGTGTCACTCGATCCCGTTCGATTGGTTCGGTTGGTAATTTTTTGGAGTCGTTAACCTCTTCCAGTGTATATTCACGTCTATTCCGCTGATCATTGGGAAAACAGTGGCTCGTTCGTTTTCTCGACATGCGTCGCGCGGTATACTTCCGACTGTAACGGCGACGTATATTTCATGAAAACTATCACTGCGGAATGCGAAGTAGTGGGAGGAGGGGACTTTCGATTTAGCGAGAATAATAATAACTAACGCATGGAACCGTTCACCGTTCGGCTGGGACAGTGGTAGGCCAAATCAAAGAGAAAAAGGTAAGTTTTCTAGCCATGTGTTGCGCCGGAGAAAAACGAAACGGAGGGGGGGAAAAAAGAAAAAAGAATACGTGCAACGTGTTCATTTTTCGTGCTCGGATTGGACGTTGGTTGGAATTTCTGAGATGACAGATCGAAAGGTTATCGCGGTTCGTTATGCTTGTTTCGATTTCTCCTACGCTTTCGTGAATAATTTCGCGACGCGCCTCGCTATCGTGGAAACCCGCCGCAGGTCCCTTTATCTCACGCCATGCTCAAACTTCGCGACACCTTTCTTTTTGTTTACCATTCAATTAACACGATATAACGCAGATATTGAATTATACTTTTTGTTTATCTATCGATTAAAACTTTTAATCTTCTTAATCGAGCTTTACGTTTCATTTATTTTTCCTTTATAATTTAACGCATCCGTGTTATTTTTATTGAAAACAAACCTTTCCGAATCTCGAGCCAGAAATCGCTAGGCAAAGTAGTTGGCAATTAGATTCGCAGTTGTTAACATTAATTGATATACGATGAAATTAGCATAATCGCTGTTATGGAAATGGCACGAAATTACACGAAACAAAGAATCCGCGCTAATGAATTATTCAATAGACTTACGTAGAACATTCTTGTGCGAATTACAAGAGCTTGCTAATTTGATTAAATGGGGAAAAAAGGTACGATTCCTCTGCTATCGTTTTTTGCGAGTTTCTACGTGTTGCGCGTCATTAATTTCATTGACCTTCTAGATTTTGTTCGATTTAGAAGAAATAATAACGCAGAAGTATATCTTAACGCGTAATTATGTGCTTTTCCTGATCAATTTCCGCAAATTCTGTCATGGGACAGTTTTGTGCAACCACGTCATAAACGGCGCAGGTGCCGATTCATTCCTTCCTTTGTTTATTTGCTTTACGCTCATCTGTTTCACCAACGTTCTTAGATACTCGCGTTCTATACATATTTTTGCGCACAACGAACAGGTAGTCATGGCTGCGAGCATGAATCATCGAGTAATTCCCTTTTTACTTTATCGAACATCGCATTAAAATGCCATTAGCCATTTGATCTTGTTCGGGCCCACGTTGAGTGAAGCTACGGTCGTAATCCCTTGGGAGGGATCGATAGATTATTCTGTAACCAACATACAGTGAGCTACCATTGCTTACACTTCCCGCTTGCACCGCGTCCTCATTCAAGCAGCGCGACGTGATTACTTTGTACTCTTGACAGCATAAAGGTCAATGAAAGAATCAAGCTATGATACATATTCTAGCATTGTACAACGACGCAATAGACGCTAACGTGGGCGAATCGTTCGGTTTCGATTTCGCTAAATGTCAGGTAAATCATAGCAAGCGTGTCTTCTGCTGAAGAAGCACGTGAGAGATAATCAAGGGAAACGTGACGAATCTATTTCGTAAGAGGCGCCATCGATCGTGTAGCTTACACGATCGAGAAACGATGGTACTTCCATGATTGCGCCATCGATATACCATTATTTTGTCTCGCGCACCTGTTCCCAAAGAGAGAACCCCTTTCCGAAACCCCTTGCTGCGACAAAAAGGACGGCTACACGAGTGGTGTTAGCATAGTCCATTTGAAGAGGTTTTCGCGGCGACAATCAATGACAGGGTCGTTATACGGTTCTCGATCATGCAGCAGGGAAGGCGTGACGAGTGGGCACTCGCGTGAAACGAGTCGAAATTGCTAGCACAAAGGACTGCGAAACGCGAACGATACTCTCTCAACAGCGGTGGAAAAGCGAGATTGCGCTTTCCAAGCGACGCACGCTTACTTCTTTTGTGTCCCTGCTACGCGCACGCGCGTTTCAAGGCTGTAGGGACAATTAAGCGACAGCGGGATCCTGTGGTGTTCGGTGGGTCCCGCTCGTAGAAAAAAGATGTTCGTGTTTCGCTTCAATCAACTTCATATTTTTGCACGCTCGCCGTTCGTAGAGTCTTAGCTGACGTGCATGTAGCTCGATGTTATCGTCAATAATATATCGCTGTACTCCGTTGGTTTAATGAGAAAAATTGCAGGGAATCCGCTTGATAAATGTGATTCGTCTAGAGAAAGCGTCTCCTGGGTTTGCAATGTTTTGGTATCGCTGTCTCTGTATACACTTGTCACCTTATCAAAGATATCTCATCAGTGATATAAATCAGTTGTGCACCAGCTAACATACGTATCCGTAATATTTGCACGTTTTTATTACTTACATATGATACTTTTCACTTACGTTTGTTTTCTTAACCGTGTTCCATGAAGGCATAGACATTACCATGAAATAAACGTTTCGTAGAAGGTCGAACCGTACGATTGAACGCGCCACGCGTATTTGAACGTAGAAATTTGTGGCGTGATGCTACGTCATCTCTCGGCCGTTGCGAAAGATTCAAACAGAGTGATTGGTTAATTGATACTTGCATTGTCGCATAAAGCAAAGTAATAATATGTCAGTTTATAATCTAATTTGTACTTCGAGCATTATTTCCCAGTACGTTTCAACGGTTTACTTGTCGTGCCCACCTTGATTATGATGCAATGATATAACACATTTGCTAGATAAGCTATCCATGAATCACCTTTCGTTACATTGCTGACACTATGGGAAGTTCAACGTTCTCCTTAAATTAGTCTTTCAGATTGACGCTTGTGCTATTTGCTTCGCATTTGATCTAAAAATAGAAAAGTTCTTGGCAATACATACTGCTAAATTCATATATCCATCTCGAATTGAGGCAACTTACTCTAAATTTCGTTAATTCCATTGATCGATCTATATTAATATCACTTATACATCGGTTATTCAATTTTCAGGCGAGATAACCTATAACACGATATTTATTCAATATATGTATATGTATGCTAGAGGAGTTCCCTTTCGTGATTGGTGGAAAGGTATGGCGATGCAATGCAGCACCTCCTATGAAACGTTCGAGAAAGGTCGGACGTAATCGGCGGACGACCGAAGCGATGGTCAAAGGAGCGCGCGAACGCGGCGAACGTTTGGACGACGATTCGAATTTTTAACGATCTGAAGTCAAACTTCAAGGCAAATCGATGATTTTTGTAATATTGAAAGCGTTCTTGTCATTATGAAGAAAAAGAAAACGGCAAATTGAGAGTGAATTTGAATGAAATTGGCGTATCTAATATGAAAGATGATCTTCGTCGGTTAATGCGATTTCTTTCGTTTTAGTTCCGAGGAGTAGCAGGCTACGAAACCGCACTTCCGAGTAAGCTTACGTGTATATTTGCACGCTATCTGTTTAAAATATGACTCTGCAGAAATTGTTTGTATTTTTTCTCCCCTTTTTCTTCCAAACGTGCATTCCTTCCGATTACTCAACTGCGCAGCATCGCACTTGAGAAAATTTATTTGAAATAATAAATTTCCACTCTGATTCTGTTTTGATTCTTCCCCGCTCGGAATTTTGGTAGCGTTCCTAAAAAATAAGTGCTGAAATAAAGACGTTCGCATAGCACTAAGAATTCCAAAGATGATTTTTTTCAAACAACTTCATTCGTAACTCGATGATGCTAAAATCGTGACAGTTATCAGTATTATAGAATGTTTCGTACCATGTATCTCTAAAAATGGAGTTCTCTGAAATTATAAATTGCTTCTTATCTCGTTGTTTTAATTAAACACAGGAAGATAAAGCGAGGATAGTCGATGATTTGCCGAATACATAGTAAGAAAGCTAACGGCACGCGTTTCTCGAGAAATAGATAGCGGTAGTGGTAGAATATTTCCTAACCTCTTACCGAAAGAATGCAGCCGCGCATTGTAACTTGCGCCGGTATCGAGGGGGGGGGGGGGATGGTTTCAAGAGTGGAGACACGGCGAATTGTGAAAAAAGGAAATGAAAGGAGGAGAAGCAGAAGGAAAGAAAGAAAGAAAGACAGAAAGACAGACTGGAGGAGTTTTGTGGTCCGTGCAGCTGTTGAGCGCGCACAGGGGAG